CTTATTATTTTCTCTTATTTTGTTACCGACAAAATTCTACTCCCGTGGCCTGGGTTAAGGTTTTCTCTATTTCTAATCTTCCCATGGAAATTTGTTTTATCAGCTTCTGAACAAAATAAATAAATATCCTTTTAGCAAGAGATGCATGTAACTTATGTTGGATTTATTTGGAATTAATGTGATTCTAATGAACCAATTTTCTATTTTAACGGGAAATACATGATTCTTTTACAAGTATTTTTTTATATTACTTTACAAGAATTGAGGAATATTTTTCGGTGAAGCGTTGCAAAAATTAAGAGATACCTTTTTGGTGAAAGAGTACAATTATGTTTATTCATTAAAAAGTAGGGACGGCAGTGGTTGATCGTATTTACAATTTTTTAAACATAAATACCATTATAAAAAAAATCAATAACAATAACTTAACTACTAAACAATGATCTTGGCCAAAAGTTGTTGTCAAATCTAAATTGATTTCTATATGAATTTTTTATTAATGTATAAATTTAAATTTTAAAATTATATTTATTAAAAAAATTAAATTTTATGGTTCTTGTTTTTGAATAATGATTATGAATTAATTACAAACAAAACTACAACCATGGAATACTGTACAATTGGTCACAAATCCATCAGTCAATACGGTACACTTACCTAAAAAACCGCATCCCTTACCCTTAGTGATTTTAATCCTGACAGGACTTATAGAAGCCATTCATAATATAGATTAATTAAAATGAAAAAGGGACAATGGCTTCTGATTAGTTTAATCAATTAAATTAACAAGCTAAAAGGAGAACCGCTGAAGGGGTTGAATTAATCGATCTAGTTAGTTTTCCGCAGTAAGTGCCTACCTTAGACCTTCCAGCATTTCATCTTTTTATACAAGGTTTATATTCTATTTTCTTGGTCCTCGCACCCTCCTAGAAATTTCTTCCCTTAATTTATTGGTTAGTGTTTTTTTTTACTGTTTTTTTTTAATATAGTTTTATTTACTTTTTTGCTGTTTTTAACTTACCTTACACGTATTAATTTTTTTTTTATAAAAAAAAAACTCATCTTACACGTTCGTTGTGAAAACTCTAATATCTAATCTTTAGTAACCTCTCCTAGCAAGCTTTTGATTAGCAAAGTGAGCTTTATCTGTGAACGAAATGATTTCCAAATTATATTTTCTTATGTCCAGAGTTTATTTTGTCCATTTTTAGAGTTATTTTTTTTTCCTTAGCAAACAATCAAGGTACATAAACTAATGCTGAATATTTCAACACTCCAAGTGCCAAAGGAGAAGTCTATGGTCATGCTATAGGTGCTTTAAGTCTTCAACTCTACCTACTTCCGAAAAAAAAACACATCTTTTCGCAACATGTTAGATGAATGTAGCTTCTTCTTGTGTTCCAAGGAAGGACTTTTTCCAGTGGGATACCTAACGGCACTTAGGATGTAGACATGACTAGGATGCCGAACCTCAATTAGCGCATCTCTATAGTATGTTGTACATAAATCGATGCTGACCAATCTTTTGGTAATTCGATAACATGTGCAATTATTATATATATTAGTATGTATCCTTTTAATGTTCAAAAACTGAGTCACTCTCTCTCTCTATATACAGTTATATATTCATGGCTACGCATGTATAGCATAGTCGTAAATTTAATTAAACAAAGTCCAGTCTCCAAGACCAAAGAAAAAGGAATATTCAGCACTATTTATCATGAATTTTTAAGCCAAGGCGAAGATCTAATATGGCAGCACCACCGGTATGAAAGGCACGAGTTCATGTGGTTCGAACTAGCTGGTCTTCAAATTTCTAAAACCTAATTACGTCATCTTGCAATTCACTTTCATCATCAATTACGTGACCCAACTTTAATCAATAGATAAATTAAAATTAGAACACAAGGAAAGCAACTAAAAAATATTAGTGGAAAAGAATGCCACCAACAGCATGAGTTGAAAAGGATAATTAAACAACGAAGTATTTATATTTGATTTGATGAGGGTCATTAACTAGGCAGTGTCACAGAATGACAGATCTCTCTCTCCTATTATGCTTGCTTTTAACATTAGTTTGGATTATTATATTGGACACAAGCTCTACTTCCTAATTTAGTATGTTGTAATCTCAAGGCTTGGCACGGAGTGAGATTTTAATATACTACAAACTAATACATGCCCATATAACATTCGTGATTTATCGCATATGCTACATGAATGGTCGATAGAAAGAATTAAAAGGTTTCAAACTTTTGGGGATGGCTCAGAGAGCCTGCACTTGCACTTTCCTTTTCAGTTAAAAACTTAAGAGAGCAGTCTCTCTCACATGACCCTGGGTGAGACCGAGAGCTGGGGAGGGGGTGGGGGTCGAGAGAGAGGTAGATGGATAGAGAGGAACAACCATCATTGCTAAAAACCAGATTATTCCCTGGCATGGGCCACCATGATTCCAAAAGAGAAAACGTCACATGTCACCACTCCTTCCCTCTCAAAATAGGTCCTCATCCTGCAAATTGCTTATTTATATCATAGCTAATCAAGCAATCATCTCTCTGCCAATTTGTTTCCCAAAAATTCTATGATTATTCTGTTTCTGCGTTGGGTTAACAACTTTCCTTACATTTTTTCTACCGTTCACCCTAATACGAGTAAGTTATAAATTAGTCTTTCTAGTTTTGAAACATGAATTAATTAGTTATTTTTATTTTAAAAATTAATTATTTAGTTCTTATATTTTTAATTTTTTTAACTTAATCATTTTCATTGATTTTTAATTTATTATATTTTTATTTTAAAAGTATAAAAGAATTGATGAAAAAATAAAATTTTAAGATAAAATAATATTAAATTATATGAATTTAATATTATTAAAAAACTAAATAATTAATTTTTAAAACAAAAAAATTAATTAATTTGTTTCTAGAAAACAAAGGGACTAATTTATAACAGACTCCCTTATTCTCATGGTTAATCATTTCCTTTAGGTATCAAAATGATTACTGAAGATTTTTTTTCAAAAAAAGGAAAAAATCAAAATCTCTCTCTTTTCCAGCTTCTTTTTTATGCCCATATAATGAATTGTACGATGATACTTTACTCGTTTCAACTATAAATTCGCCAATGAAACTCTTAAAATTTAAGGAAATCTAGGACCGCCCATCAACAAAAGCAAAGACTGGAATTATCATGGCAGGATCCTCAATATCTTATCATTTTATCATCAATATTTATACCACAAACTGCGTCTAACTTAATTACCATAGACTGTCATCAATTATACCACAAACTGCTTTAATAAGTAAATCCAGTGGCAGCATAAAAGCTGTAGATGCAGAGTTATATGAGATTGGTACCGGAGCATCATCTAATCCACCACACCCCAACACGACATTTTCATAATCTTTCTTCTTCTTGACTCTTGTTGGTGTTTCTTAAAAATAAAAATTATAATTAAAAAATGAATGGAATGCGTGGATCACGAGCCCACCATATTTTAATCATGACTACGCCATATAATGTGCGTGTTGTCTGCATTTCCTATCCTATATTAATTATTGTCACAAAACTTAGGGCAGCTGTATCTTTTACATGCTCATGCTCAATGGTTTTATTACTTTCCAGGGTGGTTGGGCTGCGGAATCAATAAGGAAAAGAAAACCGAGGTTGTCTTAATTAGATTGATGATGAGATGGTCTCGAGCTAGGCGAGCAAGAAAAGCCTAGTTGCACATGTTTGAATTTTGAAGTGGTTTGTTTCCCAAATTCTAAATTTAAAGATAAAAAAATCTCTATAGGAATTTTGACTCCAACACGTCTTCAAACCCAACGAAGCTGGCTAACTAAGTAGCTAAACTAGTTTCATCTCTTACTTTCTTAATGGGCATCTATTAATGACCAAAAATGAATTAGAACTTAAGAATCATAATATCATGGACAAGGACGTAATGGGATCATTTTTTAACTTCTAGTTTATGATTGCGGCAGGTAAGGATTCCCCTAATCTTTGCCACCAATCGCTCTATATTGTATTATATATATCCCATATAGTAAGATATTCTAAAATAAAACGAACTATTATCCTATAATAGACGTACATAGCATGAAGATGATCAACCATGTGAGAGATATCACAATAACATTGAATTTGAACAACATAAAAACACACATAAACAAACAGGTTTAATTTAACGGTTTTGTATTAAAGAAAAAAACATAAAAACACAATGACAATTAAAAGGGAATTACATGTACAAGAATGGAGCTCCTGAAGGATTAGGAAGAAGATAACAAATCATAAATGATAAAGCTTGTTGGCACGCCATTAAAAAAATTGTTCCTTTGTCCTGCAATGGAATGATAATGTCCATTGCAGGATGTATGCTAACTAGAGTTCTAGAAAAACAAGAATTGGACCACCCATTAGCAGCAAATCTTTCCAGCAGACAAGATCTTGTTCATTAACGCGGCAGCACCGACCTATTTATTTTCTTCCGGTGGTACTGTACGAGGAAGACAATTTTGTGTACTGTGTTATGGGACTACATTATAGTATACCAGTAGAGTACAAGTTGAAGATTTAAAGTGTAAAGCAATCAACTGAAACTGGATCAGTAATTCAAACTAGCTAGCTAGAAGAAAAGTAACAGAATTGGAAAGCTGAATCATGCACAGTAATGATGTATAATATAATGCCAAACTATAAAGAAAAAACACACACACACACACTATATATATCTACACATTATTTAAAGTGTGACATCTCATAATATGATACTCCTAAAATTCTTGATTATTTCTTGAAAAAGGAGATAAAAAAAAGATGATATGATGCTGCAATCTAGCCAAAGTAGCGGGGACCGAGGTCAATACAGAATTATACCATCATTAACAAAATCATCATCACCAGTGCCGCCACCACCACCATTAACACATGATAATCAGCTGCCTGAGGCAATACCTTCATCCACCAGCTCGTAGACCGTTAATAACCAAACCTGATTAATGATCTCCTACTCTGAACTCTGATGGACAAATCCATGAATCAACTGTACCTTCAGTAACTCTTGAAGAAACATTCTCTAAACCCTTGTCATGGTGAAAATCTGATGAAGAAGCTGATGAGTAATTCAACTTACAGCTATTAACACGTTGCATATTACCATAATTCCCATCCAAAGACCTCAAGTTATGATCTTGAGTGATCCCGTCATTAGATAACCTCAACCCTTCTGTTGTTACATGAGTTGTTAACCCACTAAGGTTTGCATTAACATGTCTATGGCCCATACCCAATTCCTCAAGGGAAGGTAAAGGCAAACTTGCTCGAGACTTTGCACCCAAGCCAGGCACATTAGCTAAAGGTTGAAGAGGAGGAGGGGGCTGTAGAAGGGGTTGAATCGAAAGCATTTGATTTTGCATGTTTAGCAGATTCTGAGGTTGTTTGTGTAGGCCTAAATCAGCAGAGAGTTGGTAGTTAACAGAACTGGGATTGAAAGTACTAGTTGTGGCTGTGGTAATAGTATTGTTATTGTTAGCAGTAGTACTAGTACTAGCAATATTAGTGGCATCAACAATATTATTGCTAAAAAATGAAGGAGAAGAAGAAGATAAAAACGGGGTTTGCTGATGATGAACCTTTTGAGCTGAGGGACGTAGAGGGTAAAGCGAACCCATTGGTTCCAAATGACCAGACCTCAAATCCGAGCCAGGGCAAAAAAGATCGAGCCTACGAGTAAACGGTGAGCCTGAAAATGGTGGTGCTGGGATCCCGGTGAACTCTTGCACCATTTGTCTAAAATTGGACGTGTCTGTCGTGAGAACTGTTGTGGGTGCCCTTCTTGATGCCCTTGTTCTCTTCTTGGGGTTTCTGGCTACCCCATGTGTTTGATCAGACGGTGAAGAAGAGCGTACTCCATTATCATGAAGCGATCGCAATTGCATAGATGAAGGTAAAGCTTGACTTGATCCTTGAACACCCAAAAGTGCCGATTGACTTGACGATAATGATTCTGGTAAGTTGATACCAAGGTCAGTGCAATTGGGATCAGATCTTAAGCCTCGTGAATGAACCATGTCCAGATTTAGCATAGAAGAACTGGAATTTGGATTTGGTTGAGATTGAGAGAAAGCATGGAAAAGAGTTGCGGAAGGATCAAACAAAGTGGCCTGTTGGTGAGAAAGAAGAGAAGGACCAAAGTTGTGGCTAGAAGGATTCAAGAAAGCTGGAAGTGACTCTGGCCTTGAGTCATATTCTTCATCACCACCACTTGAAGAGTACATACTACCACTATTACCAGAATCCATTACTTACAAAAAGTTGAAACAAAAGAAAGGAAAGAAGATAGTGATAGTTGCCAAGTTGCAGAGGAGAAAAGATGATATAAAAAAAGTACTTATGAGGATTCTGCAAAAGAACCCATCAAGTAAATGAAGACTAGAGAGTTTTCCATATATAAAAAAAAAAAAAACTTCTGAATCTGCTTTGAGAAAGTTTTCCGTATCTTTTAAAGCCTGACCTGAAATGGAGGCAATATCTCTTCCTTGTCTTTCACTAACAGCAAAAGTTTATGTGAAAAGAAGAGAAAATGCACAGATCTTCTTAAATATGATGGCTAGAGAGAAAAGGAGCAGAAAAAGACACAGGAACAAAAGGGTGAAGAGTAAAAGCTAAAGGGGGATGGGAGGGGGTACGTGAGGCTATCTAATCTTAGCTAGTTTTGCTTCTTCTGTTTCAGGGCATGTTTTGGGATTAGGGTTTTTGGAGAAGGAAAAGAGAAATGAAAGAAAGAAGAAGCTTATTTATGCTTTTTGGCTCTAAAAAAGTAAAGGACATTGCAAGAAATTAATGTTTCCACTAAGAAGATCCTCTAGAGAGTGCAGGGTGGGGTCTCCATTGGAGTAGAGAAAGAGTTGCCGGTGGCTGGCAACGGGTCAAACTCAAAGTGAATGAGAAAGAAAGGGAGAGGCTGAGTTAATAGGTTATGAATGTGAAAGCAAGAAAATGATGTGAATACTGAAATTAATTTTTGCAGGGGAAATAAAAGAGAAGATAAAAAAGGACAAAAAGAAAAGTAAGAGTATAAAAAGCGAACCAGTATTTGGGTTCTTGGGGGTAGCTAAAATACATGAAAAGGTGGCAAAAATAAAATCAACCGCCCCAATTAATCACTATTTACCAATTCTCTTTTTATGTTCACACTCAACGTTAGCATATACTCCTACATACAACGAATTTTTATTTGATGTCCGATACGAGTTTTTATGCATTTCTTTCGGGAAAGAGAGAATGTTTTTTTCCCCTTATGACTCAATCTATTATTAATCACATAATCTCTTTGATCAAGCAGAGAAAAGTAAACAATTTTAATATAAGGGCAAATAACATTCAATTTCAACACTTATTTTGTGAAATTAATAAGCATGATATGGTGACGATGTACCTGCAGCCACATATAACCAAACCTAGCTCAGCCTTTGACCAAGTCAGAGCTCAGGAACAAAATCCAAGTTATAATTGAGCAACATCAGAGAATCTTTCACCATCTTCGTCATCTGAGATTAGGATTCAAAGAATAATATTTTCATTCACCTTTTAACTTTTCCATTCTATTTGTTGTATACTAATTAAAAAGCATGTAAAAATAAAAGCTTTGGTTCACGTAAGATTCTTTCCCTTTTTTTTTTTTTGTTCGAGAATGATGTATGATTGCTGATAAATCAAAGTCTCAATAATGGTTGCAATCTTTACATAATCTTTGATACCCTTCTACATTATTGTTATTATTATTATTATGATGGTTGATGCTTAGTTTTGTTCTTTTGAAACTTGAAAGAAAAAGAAAAAGAAAAAGAAACTTTAGAGAGTATAATATATAATTTTGCTGGATACGTCGGTTCACCCACAATATCCAAGTTCGCTGCAACCATCAAAGCTAAAAAGTGATTAATTTCCACTTCCTTTTTACTACCATATATTTACTTTAAATGCCTCCATAGTTCTAACTTGATGGGTAAAACTGTACTTAAATCGATTCAAAAAAATCCCGACTTATCAGAAAATTAATACAATTATATATATATATATGCGCGCGCGCGTGTTTTTTAGGCAAATATCTTTGTCAAGTGCGTGTTGTATATATCCTATTACGGCTACTGGCCTATATATTCCCTACATACAAACCAAATGGAATTCTCTTCATGTCTTTTATGCCTGCACGGAACCTATTAAAATTTTAGGCGATCTCCATTTACGAATCTGATTGCGCTGCCTTTCGCATCTACCCTTTCCCTTCCTTGCTTCGTGCTTTGGTCCAAAAAATGGCTTGCTGGGAGGCAAGGGATCAAGCCGCTCGGCGGTTAAGCTAATTGGGGAACTCTCCATTATTTAATGATATATGGGACACCACCTTGAACCAAAAAAAAAATTAACCGCTAATCAATTTTTTTCTCTTATCGAAATGTTAGGTTTTGAAAATTAATATTTGGTAATTCTGCGTATGATTGTTCTCTAGTATAAGAGGACATCTTTCGTTGTTGTAATTAAATTGTAATCATACCGTACACAAATTTTCAGTCACATTATTTATTAGGAATGGTTCAATATATTGGGTATTATATTTTTTCTTTTTATAAAAATACGAGATTCATAAATTATTTTACGAGGTGAATCTAAAAGGATGGCATGTCTAATAATTTTCAATATATATAGACAACCTTTTACAGCAAATTTTCTCATTTTTGCTTTTGAGGTTTTCTAGGCTATAATTTTATAATTCGAACCAAAATATGGTATAACACGTGCTGTCAAAGAAAGGGTGGTTCAACTAAATTCTTGAATTTTGTTATTTCTAGGAATTGTCCTGCCTATTGATGGGGAATTGAAGCATGCTCATTTATATAGGACAGGGAAGATGGTGACCTAGTTCACCTAGAATTTGAAGGAAAGTGATGGAATGAAATATAAATGTGTGGGGCTAATTAAGCCCGCCTAAGGCCTCTATTGCATTTTACAAAGCAGAAACTTTTACGGATAGTAATAGGATGCAAAAAGGGTGAGGAATTTTCTTTGTTTATTCTGACCGAACATATTGTTATCCAATAAGATTTGAGAAGTTAAAATACTTTCAATGTCTTTGATATTAAAAATATTTTAATTTTCGAGTTAATTTATATGTTAATAAGAAATTAATTTTTTTTTTGAGATATATATAAAAGAATAAAATCTATGAAAAGTATTTATGACGCGATCCACATACAAAACAGAGGGAGAGGGAGCGTGTCTAATAATTTTTGCCAACCGAAATTGAGAATGAGTTCACTTTAGGCCTTTTTAGACGAGCGTTATAACTTAGTCATTTAATCTCTCCAAGGCCTTGGTTTAGGAACAACAAACCTTTGAGGGCCAGTAAGCGTAACTGAATTTTAGCCCAATTTATCATCGAATTTGAGTTTAGCCCTCTCGTTTCTTTCTCCAAACAAATCCTCACTCGGAGAAAAAGTAAAAGAAAAGAAAAAAACTAGAGACGCAGATTCATGTTGGTTGGCAGTGACCCAGTTGTGATTGTTAATCTTCATATCCAATAGATCATGCTTCTTTGATTGGATAGTTCTACATGGTATCTGCGTTTTCTTTCTTTCTTTATTTTTTATTTATTTATTAATTTTAATTAATTTGGTCCCGGTGATAGAACTGTTTGTTTTGGAAATAGGAGTACTGTTTCTGTTATGCATAATTTTTAATAGGGATTGTGTTACTTAAAACTGCGATCCCCATTGTTTAAGGCATGTGCAAGAACAAAGATTATAGCTTTGTGAGTTTTGCTTGTGTCGCGGTTCTTGGATATGGTTTCAAGGACAGATAATTGGTCTTTAAATTTTCTTTTCTTTCTTTCTTCTCTCTCTCTTTTAAAAATCTTCTTGGTGTTTAATTTAAAGAGATGCTGGAAATTAGAGAGCTTGTGGAGGCAGGTTAGGAGTTCTATCCATCTCACCCCTGTCCGGTGCTTCATCTTTGGTCCTGAATTCTGAAACAGTGTTTGTCTCCTTTTCTTTATTCCCATTGGTAGATTCCTTGCGGAAAAGCACAGAGATTTTAAGAATGCAGTCTGCCGATTGAAATCGCCCTTGCTTGCGATTGGAACTTTTGCTGTCTCGCGTTCTTCCTTGGCCTGTAATGATCCCGTAGGCCTAGATATGTATTCCAAATGCTATGGATGGTAGCAAATTGTAGGGTGATTTGCCTTCTTATTGACAAAGGTCGGCTGTATGCAGCAAACGGGTTACGACATCCGAAATAAGACATGACTACAGGGGAATCGAGAAAATGACATCTGAAATAAGTCATGATTCACACAAAAATTGAGAGAGCTATCAGACCATTTCAAGTCAAACAACTCTCGGATATTTTAATCTTAATTATTAAACCTTCCCTAAAATAAAATTCTGAATCAGTATCACATTGAAATTCATAATACCTTCACGATACTTAAGCAGATTTAACATAATAATTATCGACTTAAAAATCCTATAATAATAACTATAGAGTTTCTAAAAGGTACAATAATTTCAAAATACAAATTCAAAATATTACAAATAAATAAATTGCGTGCTCGATATTGTGTTAGCTTCAAAACAAGCAGACTTTGTGAAAATAAAAAGACAATCTCACAAATCTTATAAAACTGAAATAGTAGGATGTGAACAAATAACGAGTTCAAATAATAGATAATATATATATAACATATATAAGAAAGTGTAACGGACCAATGGATAATAATTTAAAATTTACTTAATATGCAATGCTTATTTCTCAAAGTCAAATGCATACTTTAAATATCAAATCGTATATCATATTTTCAAATAATTTAAATTCAAATCGAAATCTCGTATCCAAATATTTATAATCAAAATCATACATTAAATTACTTATAATCAATTCAAATCATATCAAACATCGAAATTGAAATCTATATATAGAATAATCAAATCAATAAAGTATCCAAAATTATACTTGAGGTGAAACGAAACATAATGCATATTGGATGTGAACATCCAAAGACTACTCCCTTCCGTAGCTAGGTTTTCGTATGTTGATCGACACACAAACTAGCACCACACATCTCTTGCTAGTTAGAGCATTACATATCAATGATTTCATAGGCTACGCCTCCCATAACTAGGTATCCCAAGGTAGTGAAATAAATCGAAGATAGAATAAATTTATCTATCTATATTAAAAAAAAATCCAAAATCAATATATCCAAATACAATTCATACTCAAAATTAAACTTGGTAATGTAATTCAATATCAAATGTTATAATTAAAGTATAAGCTCGAATACAAATTCATATTTAAAATTATAAATCAAATACTTACCGAAATTATACGAATAAAATCATAATCAAGAATCTAAATTTAACTAGTAATTAAATCCATAGATATAAATCAAACCTTAAGTAAAGCACTTATTCAACACACATAATCAAATCCTCTTTTTTGAATCACATCAAACCATTTTTGATATTTAATCATTTCAAATACTCAAAGAGTCTATTTTCGTCTAAGTTCTAATGAATATGATTATGCCATAATTAAATCAATGATGCATGAAGGATATATCAAAAGAATTTAAAAACACAATATGATGATATATACTTTCTAGTCACGGTATAATAGGATGATCGAACAAAGTCGAGATTGTTGAAATGGAGTTACTCACTCGAAGAATCCAATGATACAAAATGGTCGAATAATCATTCATATCACATATCAATGAATAATTCTAAAGCAAATGAATTATTCTAGAAATCCGAATATAAGACAATTTACAATAAGAGAATTTATCGAAAAGATTCAAATCAAGGATTTTTAACTAACTCTTACTTTTTCAATCAATTTTAGACAATTACCTAATAACTATATCCTAAGTTCATTTTACAATCTTTCTCTAACAAATCAATTTGCATTTTATTACAATCAATATTTATCCATCATCAATTTTTGACCAATTTAAATTTCACATATCTTGCTCTATAATCCATTATCAATTTTCACGCAACTAATCTCTACAATCCATCACTAATTTTTAATTCAATTTTTACATAATTAATCTCTAAAATCCATCATTAATTTTCATTTCAAAATTTTCTACAACTTACCTTTACAATTTATCATTAATTTCAAATTCAATTCTTCTCACAACTTACCTCTATAATTCATCATCTAATTAACCAACTTGAGAATTTCTTAAACCCATAGTCCAATAATCAATTTTACACCACTATTATCTCATTTCAAACATCAATTACCATAATTAATTGTTAAATCATCAAATCCTTAAGTTCAATTCAATTCCTAACCCAACTCAATTCTAATTCAAATAATAAACCCAATATAAAACAACTCCAAAATAATCAATAAACACATATAATCATCTGAAGTTTAAGGTCAAATCACATTTGATAAATGGGTCTTCAATCTCAATCCATCAATTCCTCCAAACCTTCCAAACTTTAATCTAGCCTAATATCACTTTAATCATCTTCCTTTATGGTTTTTCAAAGGTATTTGGGCAATATTTTAGCTTAAAATTGAAGGAGTGAAATGAGAGGAAGTAGAGAGAGTGTGTGTGGAAATACATAAATTATCACGTTTCGTGTTTTAAAGTCTGCCGAGATTTTTTTTTCTTACCTTTCATCTTAATTATTCTTATTCTTTCTTTCTTATCTTTATATAAAATTGAGGAACTAACCTCAATCTTATAACTATTTTTTTAAAATCTAAAAATTCATAAATTACTACCTTAACTTTATTTTTTAGACAGGTTATTACAAAACCTAGCTAGACTATTCTAATCTTGATATTTGTATTGCTATTATGTTCTGTTTGCAAATATTAGTTACCTGGTCGGCTGCAGGAGTGTGTGTGGAAAAGGTAATAATAGTAACGAATGTGTGCTTGAAATCATTAGATGAAGTCTTAACTACATACTCATATTCCATTGATTCATGTGTTTGATTTGGCATGACATTTGTGGGATAAGTCTATTGCACTTCTCTTTGGCCTTTGTTACCACAGCTACAGCAAGGATTTTAGGGCTTTGGTCTCATTTTTAGAACAAAAATAATTTCAGAAATTGTGGTGTTTACATGGTGAGCATGAAATGCGTCATTATCTATCAATGGCTTTTACCTATATTTCATGATGTCAAGAGTGAATGGAATCGGTGTGTTTTTCGTCAGGACATAGCTGAATACCTCACCATTTGCGAGTTGGTCATATTGTCAAAGGTCAACGGTGATTCTTGCTGATGAAAGATTGCAAACTTTACCGAAACAAAAAATCGAGAAGAAAATGCATCATACCCGACCTTTTTACGATCTTATTCTCCTTTATGTAAAAGAAAATGTGTTTGGATGTTGACTGAGAAGGAAAAGCCTAGGGATCATGGGCCACTGCACAGATTTAGCCCCTCCAAGGTGGGTCCTGGGGTTGTACCCAAGAACAATTGGGTCCTGGTCCTCCTACAGGAGGTGGAAGGGGAAAATTCATTGACAGTCTCACAATCTCACACCTACGTTCCTGCATGAAATAATGCCAAAGAGCTTATAGATGGGAATGTGAACCTAGTTTTGGTGGGTTATAAGTAACAACATATCTTTTAGAGATACAAAAGTATGGTGGTACAAAATTAGAGATACAAAAATATGGGGGTACCAAAAAAATATATATTCGTGGCCAAAGTTTTTATGTTTACTCCTAAATCACTTTGTGAATCCATGGAAAGAAATAAACAATCAAAATCACGTGAGAAACTAGTATCATGAAAAGGATCTTATATTTATAAAGCTTAGCTCTCCGAAAGTGAAGTCCTTGTTTGTGATTTTGCCCCTAATATCATCAGCAAGTAGACGTGGGTTTGCAGTACCCGTGATTAATTTAGGTTGTGTTACCATGAAACTTTGGCTGAATTATAGATAAAGTTAGATAATTCCTTCACCAACTTCAGTTGCAAGTTATGTTTCTTGTTTGGAGTGCCTGGATAGAGCGTTAAAATCTTATGCTAAAGTTTTCAGTGATAACAGTAAGTGGACCATGTGGTGTCAAAGTTAATTAGAGCCAATTATTGAAGATATTGCAGATTCTTCAGAATAAATAATTTGTATAGCATAATGTTCCTTGTTCTGGATAATGTTAGTTGTTTTTTATTTTGTGGTTTGATTCTCAATATCAATTAAATGCTGATCAATATTGTTTACTGTGTTGATGAGGGAAGTGTAAAGAGATTGGTGAAAATGACCCAGAATGTCTTGTTAAGACCGATCCCAATGCCAAGCAAATCCAATGACCCCAATATGCTTTCTCCTGAAGCTTGGGTAAATACTAATGGGTAGTAGTGGGTACGTTTCATGGGCTTTGGATCACGTGACCACTTGCTTTTCTTTATGCAAAATGCATGTGCAGCCCTTTCAGCACTATCTAAGCATGTATCTCTCCTCCTCCTCTCTTTCAAGTTTTAACCCTTCAATCACAAGCCTTAGCCAATGCAATCACGTGTACCAATTTCCAACATTTTTCTCAACCTCGTCCATATTGTATCGTTTTTTCACTCCTTCAACCTTTATATAAATTCAAGGCTTAACACAAGGACTATATCATCACTTTTTATTAAGATTCCAGAGTGTATAAGAAGTTCCTAGGAGAAAAATATTAGCAGCTTTTGAATTTTAACGAAGGAATAAGAATGGTGTAAACCCAAGACCAGTTTTGGATAGGGAATGCCAACATCCACTGAGATGGATAATTAATATATGTGTGGACGACATTCCTATTCATTTTATTAGGCACAGCGCGCTTCGAGAGATTTTTTTCCCTTTGGCATTGTATCTTCACTTTACAATTTTGCTTATCTTGCCGACTAGGTATACAAGGGATCTTTGTGGCCTAGCCGACATTACAATATTTTCATTAATTTGAATCAATCTAATATGGTTATGGCTCGATATTGATCGAAAGAAAATGGTAGAAAAAGTTTTAAGCCATAACAATAAAGTTTGCATCCGACCCATCCTCTAATTTTACTAATATTATATTTCATGAACATTTCATCTTTGAAATTGAATAAAGTGTGTACCCACCCATACACTATCAGTTGAGACTGTGATACCCCACCGTTGTCACTACCGGCTACCATACGATATATCTACCCTTGGATACTGCTCCTTTTTCCTAATCATTTAATAGTTAGCCTTGCTTTTCTTATGAAAAAAACTACTCCAACTCCAATTATGCATACTTTTCCTGCTAATTAACATAAGCTACTATGTCCTTCATTTCACTAACCAAGGATTTGGATAGGATTGAGTGTAACAAAAGTTCCTCTAACTACTGGTCCTTGCTTAACGTTGCTAATTTAGAAATGTGACTTCATCCTCAAAAAAATAAAAATCAAATTTAGGATGCAGGAAGCATCAATGAATGGCCGAAAATGATAATCGCATTTGGAACTTAATGTATTATTATACAATGGTACATATTTGTCATATATAGTTTGGTCGCTTATATTGTTCTATATAATAAATAGATTTAAATCAAGTGATTTGGTCTCTTCAAACACGAGTTTAGGATAGAGAATAGTTTTCGTTTAGCCGACAGAACAGAAATGAATAATTTGTGGGCAGTAGAATGCAATAAGTTTGGATCTTGACATAATTTGTACTCACAGATTGGAATTGATATTCCTGGATTAAGTACTGATTATCAATTTTAATAGCCTAATTGATAGGCCGAAATTCTCAATTAACAAGCAATGACAAACGTGGGTATTTTGGGCTCCACCAGCAAAGATCCAATTAGCACCTCAATTTTTCATTTCTTGACTTGTAGAGGCTAAGATCTTTATTATCCGTAATCTGAGCTAGTATTTGGTAATTATTACAATAATCTGCCTGGATATTAAATAATAAGTTGAGATAAATAGAGGATAGGAAAATCATAATAGATATAGGCTTTTTTTCTTTCGTTCCAATTAGCTGTTAACTTTGACTAACTTTTAAGCTTCTAGTAAGAAGAAAAAATTTAATTCTCTAGGGATTCTATACATCTCCGGCTCACACTGTCTTCCATCTCCTCCTATCGTCATTAGTGAAAAAACAAAATGGAAGATTTAGAGAAATTTCCCTTTTTTTCAGTAAATAAAGCATGAGTTGAATTCACCCACGTAATTAAAAGGAATGAAAAAAAGGTACGTTAGGATCCCTTTTAGGAGAATTAACCAACTATCAGTATCTAACCATCATAATCATTGGATCTATCGAATTTTATGATTTTCAAACGATCCTAACATCAAAAGCAAATGTAAACCCCAACCAGATAATTGGTTCATAAGTCACATTGTATGTTGACGTGTAATAGGAGCATAGCACTGGCATGATTTTGGAATTTCACTTAAACGACCGTTTCAGCACGCACGCAACAGTATCTAAAACTCTTTGTGTGCATTGAATTTTTTGTAGCATATTAATTTGACCTTGACTTAAGAATAGTAGTGGCAAAATTGGAAGTTGAGAACTCTTAGATGGCATCCCATTATGGGCGATAGTAATGTTTATACTAATTTGATGGAAGTCAAAAGCTACAATGCTGGCAAAGCAGGGAGGTTGTTTAATAATACTATAAATTGAAAGGGCTAAGTATAAGCCGGCACCGACTAGTTATGAGCAGAATTCATGTAGATTAGGTAAAGTCGTAGACACATCCTCCTTTTCTTTAAACCTCTTTTGCATGAAATTTTTAAACACACGCCAATTGCAATCAACACAAAATGACACCAAAAACATCCGCCAACGAAAAGAGAAGTTGAAGCAAATAAAAGAAGAGAAAGAGGATCAGCGCAAAGCAAAACTAAAGAGAAATACAACTGCTAGTAATTCGATGGGGTCCATGCCAAACAGTGCCTTGCTGGCCATCTCCACAGAGCTGAGTATGTGGCAAGCGTATAGCACTTGAACCTGTAAAACATATGAATTAAAGACCAATTCAAATCACCGATTACCCGCATCCCTTGGTTTGTTTTTTCATTTAATTCTAAGATAATGGTTAAATTTGGTTTAATTCGGTCAGCTATTGACATATCTTTCGTAATCAGGATGCGATGTGTTAATTTCTATTCATGTATGAAAAAGGGACAGCTATTGCAAGCTAAGCAGAATCATGAAAAAACAAATATTGAACTTTTTCTGTGATTAGACCATTCAAAACAACATCAGGGTTTATTTTCGATCAAAAGAGTCCTGATATTAATTTGCTAGTGAACTTGATTTGTTGTTTTTTTCCCCAAAAAAGAAAAAGCATGACCAGTTAAGACCAGGCTAGCAAGCCCATTTCTTAAGTGACCACTACCTTCAAGTGCAAGTGAATTGTGTGCTTCTTGACTCCAGATCGTATGAAGATATAGATATCCTCTCGTCCAGCATGCAAAAAGTAACTTTACATGAAATAAAGTAATTACAGGAAAAAAATGATTGAATCTAGCTGTTTGCTTTTTACCTTGGAAAAATTTTAAGCCGTGGCACAAAGATTTTGAACGGATTTAATAATAACATCAAAGGAAATGAAGTTTTAGAAAATCATATCTTTTTAAACCATAAATCCCATGTGCTGAAGTTTTTATATTAGCTATGATAATTTCATGATACATGAAGCAACCTTTGCATTTTATCTAACATGCATGGGGCCAGCAGGTTGCGTAGAGGAAGATCAATATTATTCGCATTTTAGTACTTCAATTTAAGTTGTAATTTTTGAATAAGAACTTTTCCTTTTTTTTGTTTTGTATGATCAAAGGGGGCTATTTGTATACCATGTTAAAAAAATTCGACAGAGCATTTTTCAAATAGTAAAATACAAATCTATATGAACAAAAATGCTTCCCGAACTATGCATAATTTTTATTTTATTTTTTTCATTTTTAATTCGAGGCCCCACCTTCGCTACTCTAAAGAGATGAAGTTGGTTTCTTGGAAGCCACTCTAGGAGCTTAGGACTTTAATATATATACATACCATCAAAGGAGTAGGCTTATTGCATTGAATCCTTCTTATTCAAGCCATTCATCGTCCTTTTTTCTCTTTATAATTTCTTCCACGTCGATCCTTTCATTTGATTCTGTCGAAAGATTTTTAAACCTTTCTTTTCCATTAAAATTTCCAATGCCATAGACATCATGCTCACACTAACATTCTCATCTTAACTCCCCCCTTCCCCTGTTTTTTTGGTTGAGAAACATTTCCATTCCTCTGTCTATAATATTCTTTCAAGAAAACATAGACCTGGAGTGAACGATGGCAGAAATCACAACATGCTCTATGGAGCACGAATTAGGCTGTGGCCTAATAGAGGATCTTTCCTACGCCGGTATTTCTGGTCGAGAAAAACATCAGTGCATTCACTGCCTGCAGAAAGCAGAAGCAATATCCCGAGCCTGCCCAGTATTGATTGTAATTCAAAGAGGCAGCAAAGTAAACCCAAGCTTGTCATCCTTGATTCCTCCAATTTGCCAAAGTCTTCACCAAAAGTGAAAAAAAAGGGCATAGTTTGGTTCCTCAAAGGCCTTCTACTACTCATAAAAAGGAAGAAGGTAGGAGACCCTTAGATGCTGCAAGAAGTTCAACATCATCTTTGTCAAGTTCAAGCCAGAATAAAGTATTACAAACCGATAAGGCTAAGATAAGAAGGGACTCCACCAGTGACTCTAGAGAGCTTAGCAGGAGTGTCATATATAATCATCAAAAATCCAATGACAACAAAGCTTTTGTCCGAGCCACTTCGGGCAATGTTATGTTGTTGGGCCATTTGGGCAACCGAAGACAGTCATGAAATGGGAATTTTATAGGGAATGATAGTCCTAATGCTACCACTAAGGCTTTGGATTACCTTCACAGGAACCTTCAAGAGGTTAATTTCTCCTCTACACCCAGAAATGGCTATAACAAACTTTGTAGCAGTGGTGTTATGGTCAACATTGTGAGGCAGCCTGGTGGTGAATTTCGGCTGGGACAGGGTCTAATAACTAGCATAGATCCAGAGGTTTTAAAGAATAAGGGAAACGAGAGGTACAAACTTGGAAGATTTGAAGAGGCCTTGGCTTTTTATGATCGTGCAATTGCTATTAATTCAAACAAGGCAACATATAGAAGCAATAGAAGTGCTACTTTGATAGGATTAGGCCTTCTTATAGAAGTTGTTGTTGAATGCAAAGAAGCTATTAGGCTCGATCCTTCTTATCAAAGAGCCCATTACCGTTTGGCAACAATATATTTCAGGTATGCCTTATTTAATTGCCAAGAGAGTTTTGTGTACTAAACACAGCTGATAAATTAACTTTCCTGATTTTGCTATTTTATTCTAAAATAATGTGAATTTCATCATGCAGACTAGGAGAAACAGAAAAGGCTCTGTATCACTACAAACAGTCCGGCCCCAATACTGACTCCGAAGACATTGCTCAAGCTCAGATAATTCAAAAGCAACCGAACCGAAAGCTCGAAAACTAAGAGAATGGAATAGATTGCTGAAGGAAGCTGAGAGCGTAATTTCCTCTGGTGCTGATTCAGCTCCCCTGGTGAGCAATTTTGGTTTTTTTTTTTTTTTTTGTAAAAAAAAAAAAGATATCATGCTTGCAGAGGATAACTACATTAGTAAAATTGTATCTACTGCCTGTAGTTGTTAAACATTTTATGCTTAAGCAAATTGCTTCTGTTTTACACTTATGCTTACGCTATGCAAGCAGAGGCACTATTGAGGCTCCACATGCATCAAAAAGCCTACATGGCCTACCAAAAGGGATAGAATCTTTCTGTTGACTCTTGTACCAAGTTATTTGGCCTAACTATAGCATCTTATCTCTTAATGATTAGGGCACAGGTTTACATGGCTGTCAGCAGGTTGGTAGAAGTATTTCATTTGGTATATTAGGCTCTTGTGTCCTGAATTCTCGATGTCGAATGTGTGTCCTATGCAAGCAATAATTAAGAAAAAAAGACTATTTGAGAGAGAGAATTTAATTCTCAGAGTTTCCACCGAAGAAAGATGTTGACAAAAGAAAATGTTGTGGGTTTGGGCCTTTGCTAGAATTTTCAAAGAGAGAGATGTTAGCAAAAAGGGATTGTTGTTCTCGTTTACCTTTTCTTTTTTCTTTGCTGGATGCTCTTTGGGCTTTATTCAATTGATTAACATTGAATTTACGAAATTAATTACTAAATGATGGTATTTTGGTTTTAAAATCAACCTAAATTCTTTAATGATTACATCTATGAACTTATTCTTCAATGATGTTCAATTTAAATCATCAGGTATTGACTGTAAAAATTGAGCAAATTTTAATCAAACTTGATTGTTGATTAATAGGTTTGAAGATGCTATGGCTACGGCTCAGCAAGCAGCTCGACTCAATCCCAGCAACGAGGAGGTTAGCTCAGTGGTAAAGAGTGCTAGAGCAGTAGCATCTGCTAGATTGAGTGGCAACTTGTTATTCAAGGCATCAAGATTAACTGAGGCATGTATAACATATAATGAAGGCCTAGAACATGACCCTTACAACTCAATTTTATTGTGCAACCGAGCAACATGTCAGTCCAAGCTTGGCCAATTTGAAAAGGCTGTAGAAGACTGCACTGCAGCTTTTCGTGTGCAACCAAATTATAGCAAAGCCAGGCTAAGAAGGGCCCATTGCAATGCCGAGGTAAATTTTGAGTATCATTAATGGCTAGAGTGTTTCAAAATGGGCGTGATTGTTAAAATTTAAGCTATCGCTCTAATTTCGGTTCAATTTATTTATTTTATTTTTTGCATGATTAGCTGGAAAGATGGGAGGCTTCAATTCAAGATTTTGAGACGTTGATAAGAGAAAGTCCAACAGATGAGGAGGTGGGCTGGGCCTTGTTTGAGGCACAGGTTCAACTCAAAAAGCAACGTGGTGAACATACCAAGGACCTCGAATTTGGCTCTAATTTGGTGCTTGTTTTCAGTTATGAGCATTTTAGACACTTTGTAACTTCACCTGGTAAGTCCAAACTTTAGCATTTGCTGCCTGGTACTATGGATCTTTTGTCTAGATAAAAAAAGGGGAATGTTTTTATTCGATGAGGAAACAAACCTTTATGCTTGAATTGGCAGGAATGTCTGTGGTGCTCTTTTGTAACAAAGAGAATGATCAACAAGTGTTGCAGCTGATGGAGCAAGTCTCCAAGAAATTCCCATCAGTCAACTTTCTCAAGGTTTGTTATCTTGAAGCATTGCATTGTTAAATAAATAGATCCAATTGAAAAAGAAACCCAGTAAATCATCTACTGAGGACAAGTTTTAACTTTTAAGAACTATGAAAACTTCCTTGAAAATTTTGGGCGGTCCAATAAATCACACCGACCGTAATTAAGCAGTACTATATTTTCAAAGGCAATTAAATGCGAAAATTTGAATTCCCTAAAAATAGAAAAGTCAGAGTGGAGAATAATCGTTGATAATTGATTGTTGTTGCATTGATGATTTTACGTGGAGGTTGAAGATCACCCCTACTTAGCAAAGTCAGAGAGCGTGACACTTCTGCCATCATTCAAGATATATAAGAACGGATCAAGGGTCAAAGAAATTCTAGGCAACAACCACGAATTATTAGTAAAATCAGTCAGATTATATAGCAGTTGAAGACAATTGACATAAGTGTAAACATGAATTTGTGCATAGAGCATTGACATGGTGACAGAAAAGAAAACTCATTGAGAGAAAAATAATATGGGCTGGTAGCATTTGGTCTACAGCTTTGCCAGCAAGGAACATAAAGCAGAAAAAAGATCAAAAGAGGAATCAATGTTGCAGCACCGCTAATTAAACTAATGAGGAGATAAATTAGAGTCGGAATTGAGTGATCATAATTTTAATTCTTTACTAACTTTAAACAGATTAAACTAAGATCAAAGGACATTTTGTGCACTCCTTAATTCTCCCTAGCCTCTATATATGTATATATATATGCCAAATTAGCAAACCAGGTTTGCTAATGATTTGTTGATTGGGAATAAGAAAGGAGGAAAAAATTTCTAGTGGATTGGTTAAAGAGAGCCGCTGATTTTTCTAACAACAATGTTTATAAAAATTGTGATTAGTGTTGATTAATGGAAAAACAATGATTTCTGTTGATTTTTTTAGAAATTTCTCTGATTATATTTATCAGTATTGTGGTGCCCACAGTTTCTTTGTTTTTTATTTTTTAATCTAAATTTGTACATATCATTTTGTTATAGCTGTATTATTAATTATTTATGAATTATTAATGAATTATTAAATGTGAAATGATTTCTATTTTAAATGTGATTTATTAATAGATGATTTAAATAAATTTAATTATTTACAATAATTCTATTGATTTAGTTCATAATTTTCAGATGATGGACTAAGTTTGTTTTACAATTTTTCCACAAGTGAGTTATTGTTTTGTAGCATATATACTTGCTCGAAGCCTTGAATCCTAAACTGTTGGGATTTGTGGGTTGGGGTGATAATCTAGTCCTAAGCCCAACTCTGTTCGTTGATAATGAGGAGGGCAGCGGACAATTGCATTTTGCTTCTTGATAATAATTATAACTGTCATGTGATATAATGTGAACGATTTATATGCAAGTAAATCCGAATCATAATGTCTCTTTCTCTCTTTTTAAAAGGATTTTCAGAGTCTCTTGAATTTTTTTTAGTTGCTGTCACCCCGTGGAAGCATTTATTATTTTGTTTTCCTTTATATTGTCCCTTTTATCCAAAATAATTCCAGATTTAGCATTTTTATTACTAGATTTTTTTTTGGTGCACGTTTACCGAGTTTATCTATTTTTATTTTTATTTTGTAATTAAAGGTTGTTGTTTCGTTATTTTTTCTTTGCACTGTTTTTTGTGCTATGATTGAAGTTTTACACAAATTGTTAATAAATCAGTTTTCATATATATATATATTGTCCAAAAAAAAGTATCAACTAAAAAATTAAGGTAACAGACTTTTTGGTAGATTGGTAGAAAAGACTAAAGAGTGTGCCAACTCTCAGTCTACTTACAGGATAATTTATATATTTTAGATATAAATTCTAAATTGTTAGCTTCTATGTAAAATTTTCATTTTGTGTTTTTTAGGTGTCCTTAATGTGATATGTAAATCTATTTTACTATTTATATTCAAAAAAAGCTCTTGTATATTGGTCAGTTTCGCATTAGAAGCTTTTCTCGTCTTCAGTTCAATAAAATTTCTATATTTGACAAAACAAAAATCTAGAAAGTTAAACCTTGTAGTATTTAAAGTACTTATCACTTATTTTTGTTCTTCAATTAATAAATCAAATGAAATGTTCCAAGTTGAAAAAATTATATATATATATATTCAATTTGTTCATCAAGTAAAATTAGATCTTATGTTAAAATGATTTTTAAGAAAACACTCTTATATTGGTCTAATACATCTAGAAAAATTTAATAAACATATCTTAATTATTTATCTGAAGTTTAAGTTGCCGGTGAAGTGAGAAGTTTATTTTTGACCCGAATATTAATTCTACAAGAAGAAAAATTATTAAACAGATATGGTTCACTTTCTAAGATCATAGACTAAACCAATAAAATAATTATAAATAATTAATTTTCTTCAAATCATCTACTAGTAAATCATATTTAAAATGTGAATCATTTCACCTTTAATAACACATTCATTATTATGAATTGAAATAATAAATTATACATCCACCATAAAATAATGAGGACAAATTTAACAATGTATATCAATTTTATTAGTTTAATTCATAATTTTAAACAATGAGCCAGATCGATGTGATAATTTATGGCGCTTATGAGCCAAATCAATACTGTTTTGAATTGGGAGAATAGTGCTCCATGAATCATTTGACTACTGCAGTTCGTAATGCCTAACTCTTTCTTTCTCTCTCTCTGTTTTTTTTTTTTTTTAGAGAAATATCTGTGCAGCTTGAAAAAATCGATTAAAATAATTCACTTTCCAATAAACCTAAAATTTATGTTTTATGTTGTAAAAATTGTTTCCATTTTTAAAAGAGAAATCCAAAGGATCATCCCGTGGTTCAAGAAGTTTGCTCTCTCATTTAATTTTATGGGCTCAAACTTTAAGACTATTATGTAATTTATTAAATTTTTTTAAATACAACAGTCCAACATAGAAGATGTATTATTAAAATTATTCAGAAAAGAATTTAGTCTTCATTGACATGTAATCTGTTGGAGAATATACTTAGTAATAAATAAATAAATATATAATTCTTAAAAGGAGAACATTTTCTTAGCAGGATTCAAAAATATATCTTACTTTTATTTTTAGGATAAATTATAAAAACTTCCTTAGGTATTATAAAATAAAATTACACTGATCATCCAAAAAATTAAAAAATTTGTATAAGCTCTCTCCATGCTTAAATAAAAACTAACACAAGTCCTCTTTTATACCTAAAATGTACTTAATATTTTTTTAAATCATCATATTCAACAATAAGGAATTTTTTAAAACGCACGGAAATCTTGTATTAAAAAGAGTGTTTGTAATATTTTTAAACTGTAGGATGATTGCTGTAGTTACTCCTATCTTTTTCCAGCCACAACATGTGTTTTATACAGTATATATGTCACATTTATCATTATTTTATATTAGAACATATTAATATTTTATTAAAAATAATCTAAAAGAATTTATTTTTAAGTGTTTATCAAACACAGGGAAGTTTTTTCAACTCGTTTATACGGTACAACAAACATAACAAAACAACTCATACTCTCAAAAAAGCTTCTCATCAAATTAGTTTTTCAGATCAATTCTTTTTTCTAAAAACAAAGGGAGCTTAATCTCAATCTTGAATCAATATCACATTGGTCTTTCACCGGCAAATATAAGAAATTGTGGGTGGCTCTTTATAGGTTTGAAATCTAGTGTGTCCTCAAACGGTTTTCTTTTAATGGGCTCCAATCCAGTGCGTTCCCATTTCCTACCATGCTTTTAAAAATGGACGGGCCTGACTGGCTGTTGAGCGACCAATTCTGTGCGATCCCATTTCCTACCATCCTACTATGCCCTTAAAAATGGACGGGCCTGGCTAGCTGTTTAGTGACAAACCATGACAGCAATAAAAGCCCATTTTTTTATTCAATACCCATAATTGACAAGCCCGTAAGGCCACTGGATTCTGGGTTTCTAACAGACGCAAAAAGCGGTGTATTAATGAATTGTAAGAGCTTGATTGCTAAATTCTAAAACAAACTTCACGTTGTTTTTTATCATCTTCTAACAAATCAAGATTTAATACGAAAGAAATCCAAGAAATGTATATGAATCCAAGAATTGTCCAAGGTGCAATCACGCAAGTGACAAATAAACTTAGCATCCCATGCTAATATTATCAAATGAATTCATACGAAAAAAGAGTCTCTACAGTGAAGAGGCTGACAGTGTAAAGTAAACCACGTGTATCTAGGGATAGCAATGGGGCGGGCGGTGCAGGGATCGCCATCTCATCCCCACCTGGTCTCCCGTAAAAAAAAATCATCCTCACGTGTCTCATTCGGAGTGAAATTTCGTTCTCCATTTCTGTTTCAAATGGGATAGAATGGGATGAGGCCTTACCAAATTACCTTTTTTAAATGTAAAAAGGTGAGACGGGGTGGATTATCATCCCTACATGTATAAGGAAAAAAATATAATTAGTCAATTTTTATACTAGGTTAGTAGGCTGTTTCACATGGCTGGAGACATAATTATGTACCATTATTTGGAATGCAAACGTTCTCACTTATGACCTTTTCCTTCTCTACAGTGAATCGAGGATGGATTTACAGCAGAAAAGACACCAATCTTAGTCACCATATTGGTACAATTATATAATCCGGCCAATCGGATGACAAATATTAGATCCCAGTATTATATAATCCTGGAGGTCATGGTAAAGAGAGCATGTGAAAATTAACAGCGTGCATGTTTTGGGTTCATATTTATATATATATCTTCCAGGGCAGACAGAGAATAACAAGTCATTGCTTTTCTGACAAATTATTGCTTCGAAAGCTTTTCCACGACCAGTTGCCTCTAATTTTTTTCACTGCCTTCCTTTTCTTCTTGGGGTATGAGTACCCGAAAATTCGAAAGGAATTGCATAAATCCAACACCCGCCTTTTACATTTGGATGACCAACTAGCAATTATACTCTTAGAAGCAAACAGGGATGAGGTCTCCTTCTAGTTCCCCTGTCTAACTTTCGGACTTCTGATGGAATTTTACTGAAGATTCTTTTTTATTTTGATGAAAACTGTACTGAAGATTCTTATTCTCCACCAATGCAACCAAAAACTTGGATAAGCTCATTTTGTGACAAATGAATCAGCAAACGAACGTATCAGAGAGACAGGGAATCTGGATGAAATTGCATGTGACACTTCAATTGTCTCTAGTCTACAAGGAATAACATAAATGAAGTTGGTAAATTCGGTTATCATCATCTTCTATACAACTCAAGGAAGCACTAGTAATAGCAGTTAAAAATGAATAAATAAATGGTTCGAAATTATTTTGAACTTCAAATCATTTGATGGATTAAATATTTTTTCAACTATTTTTTATTTAGAATTGGATGTTTCTGATGAGTTTTCATTAATTTTAACAGTAGAAGTACAATTTTTCATAATCAATTAAAGAATATTTTAGAAGAAAAGAAACAAGTTTTTGAAGAAAAATCACATGTATTTCTACCATTAAAATTGATAAAAACTTAGCAAAAATAATCAATTTCAAATGAAAAATAATTGAAAAGATTTCAAAGAGTTCTAATTCAAAATTAGAAGTTAAAGAGGAGGAAAAAAAAAAAAAACAAACAAACAAACAGGGAACATGCTAGTAATAGAGAATAAAAGTTTTACACTGACCAGATTCTGAATTGAGTAAGGTAGGCAAAAATACAGTACAAGATATACAAGGCAGCAAAATCCTTAATTTCCAGGGAAAGGATAGAAAAGCTGTACAAATGTATAAATTCAACTTGAAATCTTATAAAGAAAAAACTAGAAACGTACGGTGATCAGGATTGGATTTCCAAATCCCACACAACAATTCTGAAAGAAAAAACAAATACCGTATAAAAGTAGTGCACAAAAATTAATTATGGAACAGGGACAGTAATTACTTGGCAGGGACTTAGTAAGATGGAAAATGTAGCCGGATCAGCAGGTTCATGATCATCTCTTCCAACTTCTACTTCTTGATAATGGATCTTTCATTCCACCAACAACCCATGTTTCCTTCGCTATATCAGTTGAAAGTTTATAGAAATCAGTATCATAGCTCATCACTACCAAGTTCTCTTTTTTACTGTTTCTTTTCTCTTCCTCCATCAAAGCCTTTAAATTCTTTCCTTTCTTCTCTTCTTGCTTCATGTCTTCTTTTTCTTCGTCTTCTTCTTCATGCTGTTGTTTTTCTTCTTCTTTCTCTTCCTGCCAACTCTTTGCCGGAGCAGACCTACACCTCATAAGCAGGAGAGCATTTGGTGGTGGAACAGAGGGCGCAGCTAGAGACTTATCATTGCAAGACCTATCTTTCTGTTTAGTCTCTTCTTTGAAGAACCCAGTAGTGCTATTTTGATTCTCTTGTAGCATCATGAACCATTTAGAAAACATGGTTCTTGAATCCTCATTGTCACCTCTTCCCTCAACACCAGCATGGTTCTCTTGATATTCCTCGTACTCTTCATCATCTTCGTCGTCTTCACTAGTGATATCTGATTGAGCTGGAAAGGAACCGAAGCATCGAAAATCGAATCTTATGTTTCTTAAACATGTCAAGAAATGCATGATATCTTTCTTGAATCCAAGAGAGTCAATCCAAGTTGATTTTTTGGTTTGTTTCTTGCTGTTGTGAATTCTCTCAATCTCTTCCATTACTGATTGCCAGTTCTTGCAGGAACTTGCCTTGTGCCTGACTTTGATCTGCCCAGCACACGTTACTTTTGGTGATGTTGGTTCTGACAGCTCTGAGCCCATTTGCTTAGTTTTGGTCCAAAAGAGAGGACTGGCTCGGCTGCCACCACCCCTAGTGCTGGATTTCTTCAAGTGGTGGCGGCGTTGCTGTTGGTGGAGATGGCGGTTCTGGTGGGGTTTGCTGGGTTCTGATATCCTGGCAGGACTACAAATGGGCTTGGGCATTAAAGTTAAATGGGCTCTAGACGGAAAACATACTAACAGATCTGCTGATGGGGCTCTCTTGGTTTCTCTTCCTTTCATTTTGATTTTTTCTGCGCTTAATTTGAGAACTGATAACTCTTTTTCTGTAGATCCTGAGGTTGATGAAGTATATGTTTTTTTGCGTTTTGATGGGTCTCTAATAGAAGGAAGGTTTTAAAAGAAAGGAGAAAAGAGAATTGACAGCTTTCATTTGCTTTTCTTCCCTTTTTTTTTTTTTAATCGTCTCTCTCTTTACCATCAGTTTGTTAGTTTTTCTAACACTCCTTTTTGGTGCCCTTTGAAATGGGGTCACAAGTGAGCTTCTTTCTTAGCCTTTACTTTTTCCAATGCTTGCCAAACTTATTTAAAAATTTAGTAAAGGAAGATGAGTAGGAAAGTTGAACCCACGAGCAGTGTTACATGAACCAATCATAGCCATAACTTGCTGGTTATTACTCGTGCTATTTTGGCAAGTGCCCGCATAAACTCTTTAACAACTCCAATGCCACCCCTTTCATATAAAACTGTAGCTTTATGCTTATTGATTAGTATATTACTGCCATATTATACCAAGCTCTCAACTTGATTTAACACTACTAAATGAAGGTAAAAGCAGAAAAAGAAGGTTATTTTAGAGGGATGCAGGGAATGTTGATTTTTTTACTACCCTATATATATATATATATATAAAGCGCACCGAAAGTTTCATTAATGGTGAAGATGGAGTTAATTAGTAAAGTGAGCACGCCATAATGAAGGGTGCAATGCACTTGAGAGCATGGGGAAGATGGCCCCCTCCAACCACTACACCTTGCGTTACTATTAGTCTTCATTGTCCTTCTTTATGATTTTTAGTTATCAATTATCGTTACCATGATAGGATATACAGGAGAGACTAGAGCTCGAGATTGCTTAGTGGGGACTGGTATTTCAATCAAAACCAATTTGCTTCCTAACCATACATGTAGTTTGGTGCTGTTTGATTTACTTAATTTGCAACGCCTTGGCAGTTGGAAACACTTTTCTTCATTGATTTGGCTTCTTCCTTTTGCAAGGAAATGGTAGTCGAGTTCAGAATGAATGCAGACTTGCTGCTTTATTTCATTTTGAGTTTGTTCCGCAAAGGTCAAATCAAGCTGATGGCATACATACTAATTGGTTTCGATGTTAATTTTGCACGTCTAATTAGTTCAACATCATTAATTGGTACGTAACACCGAGCCATAGCTCAAACTTGTCTTTATCTTTTTAGCTTATCGAAGAATAATAGATCCGATGGCATCACTCTATAAATAAGAAAATGTCACCAAGTAATTTTTTTTCATTATTAAAGAAATAAAAGATTTATTGGCTCTAATTATATTACTTGAATCTCATCGAATCATGAATTATATCAATAATTATGATTTTTAGCTGATTAAATTAAATTTTCTTGGTTATCAGACACTGAAAATTCAACCTGTAATTTTTAGGACCGCAGAAAAATCATTTTCTTTGCCGAAAAATTCTGCAGTTCCCTTATTTATATATATCTTCAACCTAATTCAAACATCAAGGGTTACTCAAGCATACAGGCTGTAATCAAGACCCAATAAGCAAAGCCCCTTTTGAAGCATAAATAGAAGAAAGAGGAGCAGGGCAGGGCAGGGGGGATGATGCTCTCATTAGTTTATTAGTCTCTACTTTGTTGTAGAACCTCAAAACTTTAAGAAAAGGCTCAAAAAGCATGCGGGCCAAGCAAGCTAAGCCTACCCTTTAGGATTCTAAAGTGGTATCTTATGATATCGCATATCTATTCATCATTGAGACATGGTAGGGTTGAAATAGATGGTTAGAAGTGGAGAAGCTAAGTTTTTAAAACTGATATCGTTCCCTATCTTTTTTTTTTTTTTTTTTATAACGCGGGTGTCCGAGCCAATTTACGCGTACCTCGATTAATTCCGTGAGCTCTAAAGTTAACGACTATATAAGTCTTCAGTGGCTACCAAGAAAAGCAATCGGGATTCAAACTCGAGACCACGGAAGGAGCAAACCCCTTGATACCAAATCCTTATCATTGCGCCACCTCCTGGTGGTTATTTGTTCTCTATCCTTCCTATAATGAGTGGTAGCATCTCTGTCTTCTTAGCTCGGGGGTCTTAACTTTTTCATAATTCGATTGATTTCTAGCAGCACCATTTTGTCAAAGAATTTGGTTTAGGTGCTCATCAACCTATGCTCTTAACTGGTCGTTGGGATATAGCCTAAGTAAGTTGAATTGTAACTGATCGCTTTAAGAGGAGACAATGATGGCATTTGAAAAATTAAACGGAAGAATCTTGCTGTAAAATGCTTTCAAATTATACTTGCTATGGAGTAGGATAACTCAACACTCAATGCTTTTATTTTATTGAGTGATTATTATATAAATATGGTTCATAGAGATTAGATTATACTGCTGTAATGTAGTAGTCCTCGCTGATTATATTGAAATTCATTTTATTAAGCAATTAAATATTTTTAGTCCATATAAATCCAATCCAATTTGCTAATTGAGTAGCTTGTTATGCACTCACATGACTTGCTAGTTGCTAATGAGACATTTTAATTAATATTGATTTTGTGTGGATACAATACAATAGAAAGTTTTAGGAAGAAAACTAGTAAAAGCTTCATTGGAGGAGTTCATTTGAGAATCATTATTATTAATATTTGCTTAGTTAAATAAGAGAGATGAAATCCCATTTGACTGGGTCGTTATATAACTTATCTTGTGAGCTAACCTTTGTTCCTAGTCCCGAGAATTATGTTTTTTCATGTCCATGACGGAAAGGAAGGAAACTGGGATGGCCTAAGGCCCTTCATAATGTCATAAGCTTGTTGACATTTTTTGAGCATCTTTCCGGGGACATAAGAATTGGTTCTGGACGCACAACCATTGGGCTTATGGTCGGCATATAGCCAGTATAGATCGGATGGCTTGCTAGTCACGTGTCTAGTCTCAAGAATCTTATTTCTTGACAATTCTTATGTTGGGCCGGCATTCAATTTGTCCATTTCTGCTAGCCGTTGTCATCGTGGGATGGGCAAGGTTCTATGGACAATTGCTTTTGTTCTCGAGAATATGGACCCTGTTTAGTTCATTCACCCATGCAATGTTTATTTACCGAACTTTAATATTTCAGTTTAGATTTCCACTAATGTAGAATCAGCTACTTGCAGACAGTGACTTATTCTTATTGTTCCCAAAATGATGCTTATATTGTGCATTGAAGCCAGAATTTGAATTGCAACCAAACAAGGTGGTAAAAAGTCCCAACTCTTCACAAGTTGCGATTCCCACCTACAACATATGTTCAAATATTCGTACATCATGAGTGGAGGTGAGCTAGCACCTGATTGAATTGAAAAACCAAACCGAATCATTATAATTTGATTCGATTTGCTTAGTTTTTGATTTATTCTGTTTGATAGATTGATTTTAGTTTTAGTTTGATTTGAAAATTGAACAGCGTAATTTTTTTGACAAAAATATTTAAAAACGAATTGAAATATTTTAGTTCACAGATTCGATTTTTTTTTTCTTAAAAAAGAAAGAAAAACAAACTACAATTTGCTCGCCCCTAATCATGAGATTCTTAGTTTATGCTTTATTCTTAGATCATTGAACATAATAACTTGTGTCATGAGATTTTAATGCCTACTTTATTTCACTTTTCCGTAAAATTTGAACTAATTTACCGACAAGTAGCAACTCGATTTATTTGGAAAAATCATAAGAATCAACCATGATTGCCATCAAAGTATGATAACTGCCATAATGGTTTTACTTATAAATTAGAATATAAAAACAAGTCATTTTTATAATCATGATTATGCCTTGATTGAAAATTATTGATATCAGAGTGAGAGTGTAATCCAATTAGAAGAATTTTTTTTTTTTGGGATAAATTTCAATTCATCTCCTTTAAAGTTTATGCATTGTCTCAATTTCACTTAAAATTTTTTATATGTTTCAATTTATTCTTATACAAATTTTAATTTTATCTTCAAAATTTATAAAATATCTTAATAAAACTCAAAAAGTAAGAATGAACAAATTGAAATTAAAAAAATTATTATTTTTTTTTTCGTCAATGTTATCTAACGAGTCCTTTTGACAATACATGAATAAAATTAAACTAAAAAAAATATGATAAAAATTATTTTTTAATAACAACATCAACCTTCAACTTTTACGATCGTTATCACTTATGCACTTTCATTGACATGTTATATTTACACTTTTTATATAATTTTTCCTCAAAATCTTCAATGAGAATTCGAAAAAGAAAAAAGAAGTTAAAATCTTATATGATTTGAATTGTAGCTTGAATATAGGATAATTTTGATATCACTTAGAGCGTAATTATTTGTGCATATTAAAGGTGTTATTTGATAACAATGTCAAAGAAAATGAATTTGATATCCGAGAGAGACTGGAATGGCGAAGGTTTTGATATATGTGCTGGGGGAGGAGGGGATATATGTGTTGGGGGGTTATTTGATAACAACGTCAAAGAAAATGAATTTGGTATCCCAGAGAGATTGAAATGGTGAAGGTTTTGATATATGGGGGGTGGGGGGGGCATGGGCACGCATGTCATTTCCTTTTATTTTCTATTTTTATTTTTTATCAATTTATTTATTTTTTTCTTTATATTTTTGATGAAATTGAGATATCTTATAAACTTGAATAATGAAATTAAAATCTACATACCTGAAGGAAATTGACAAAGGAAAAAAATTGAAACAAAAGTGAAAGATAGCAAGTACCGATTGGAACACAAGTGAAAGATGGAAAAACCGATTGGAACATCAAAGATTTTGGATAAAATTGAGATAGTATATAAATTTAGGAATGTAATTAAAATTAGAAATTTTCATTTAGAAGTTTCAAGTTAAAATCTTATAAAGGGTTAGATAAATTTATTGCTGAAAGATATTACTCTCTATAGTCTACTTTGAATTTTTTTTTAAAAAAAAAACTCTAATATCTAATATTACCTACCATTTGGTACTTTATTTACTTAAATTCGTTCGGCATGGAAAAAAAAAAAAATATATATATATATATATATATATATATATATAGATTCTTGATTAGACTGGGAAATGGTCCGGTGCAAACGAGCCAATTTTAATCAGATAAAGCCCAATTCAATTTGAATTTGCAGCCCCAAGTAGAAAACCCCAATCTGCAAAACTTGGACAGGATTCAAAAAAAATTTCTTGGGAGCTAATCTCATTAGCAACACATGATCAGTGAAATTGTGTTTTTGAGAGAGTGACTGAGATCCAATTAACCACATGTCACCTATTGTTTAACGCATAATCAATGAAATTATAGGTTAACCTAATCAGTTTTTATGTAAAGAAGTCCAATTAATCATTTGCACCTACCTTTATTACATGCAATCCGGATTGTTGTGAGTTTAGTTTTATGAAAATGTTGATTTTTTTTTTTTTTTTTTTTTTGAAGATGATGGTTGACATTTTATTAGCATTCTTACACCAACATGACCATTCTTCTCGACACAAAACAATTGGCGTAATGATCCGAATATCCATTAAGGATGAATGGTTTCAAGATGCAATTGACGGCCACAGAAACTCAGCTAGATGCAGTATTGAAGATTGGATAGCAGCAAGTCTGCTACATTCAGGGATCCCTATAGGCTTATTTTGTTGGACTGACATATTTTTCTTTTTCTTTTTCTACCTACCATTGTGATCCTGGGTTAGACCAGTTCCTTTGGACCATTTTTTATAATCAATTAGCTACATACCCCGTTCATTATTTACTAAACTCTATCCACCCAGTTTAGATTTCCGTCGAGAGAACTTAATCAGTCACTATTTGCAGAAAGTTTAATACTTAAGCCTAAAATGATAGTTATGATACATGTAGCCGTGCATGGACTTTGAACTGAAATCGAAAGCTAACAATGATGTCCAGGGCAGTGCTAAACATAATTTGTTTTGAGAGAATAAATTGCACCTATAAATGTAGTTCTGGGGTTGCTATGGCAGGCCATGCTGTGTTTCACAACAATCAAAGCGAACTATAAAACATAGGTTTCTTTGCTGATGCGTCGTACTATTGCAATTCCCCTATGATATGTGACAGAGAGGCCATACAAACATTATTTCTCCTCGCTGGATACCAAATGACTTCTCTTTGGTGCAGCAATTGTATGTGCATTCCATTCCCCCGCAAATATCGCTAGTAAAATCAAACGACTTACGTGAAGAAAGTAGTATTTATTTCACTCGGTCTCTGACTTGCAGGTTTCATGTTCATTTCTTGCTGTTGGCATGTGGCGATCATATTAAAATGTTGCTTCACTATCTTATCCCATCAAAGGAAGCTGTCAGTCTACCATTCATACTCATCTTCGGACAGTGGAGACTGCATTTCTTCGTACTTCCATATCGAGAAGGTCAAGACACTGCTTTACAGGGAAGAAAGTTTACAGACATCCTCCTCTTTGCCTCTTCAATTCCACCAAATTAGTATATATAGCAAGAAACTAAAGATCAGCTACTTGTGAATCAATATTGATTCGCAAATTGAAACAGAAATTTACAGTTGTTCTCAATATCAATCACCAAAAACTGTGCAGTTCTCTTGTTGTACAAGACCGTTTGCCTTTTGATTAGTGGTGAATGAAGCTTTTAAAAACCAGTGCAAGCATAAATTGGGTTAAAAGTTATCCGGCTTTTGCTCCTCCTTTAATTTCAAAATCTCAATAGAGTGTAAACTGAAAAATAAACATTCAATTTACTATAGTCATATTTATATAAGCATCACCTCACTGCTTAAATACTCGGCATTATTTGTTTGTTTTATAGACAAAGGCATCCTCCGATATTTGGTTTTAAGCATCCTCATCCATCTCTATGTCTACTCGAAGGGTATCCACTCCCACACCAAGGCCAACCCTGCTATAGAGTGGAATATCAAACTCTTGTATGAATGTGCAAAATATTTCACATATTAAACTTTTACTGTTCTAATTGTTGAAGTGCCAGAAATCTAGATTTACCAAAAACAAATTTCTTTGGCCCCTTTAGCATTCAAAAACTAACAAACTACCAAATTCGTGTACTTTCACATGACCGCAAAATATTACTCGAAGCAATGGCCGTTCAATTCTGAATTTCTTTACATCCATGGCATTGAAGTATTCGTCGCAAAACAGCATGCAGAAATGCAATTTTGTCATGCTAAGCACGATTATCCATATTAGGCACACATTCAATCATTTATAGAATAATTCTATTCATTTCATAAAAATATTCATTCGAAACGAGTGTTTGAGATAACATCAATAACTTGATGGTTGCTCTCATATGGAATCCACCAGAATTCATCCTATCATATTTGGATGTTATTCTGAGACCAAATTCAAGATTAATAACATTGCTCCATCACTTTGTAGCACTTGTATATGATAAATTGATTAGCTAGTTTGTGTTTAGTTCAAAGTATTAGACCATTTACTGCTGCAAATTTTATTTTTTTAGGCGAATTTTATTTTCTCCTATGGGACTCATAGGTGTCTCAATTCCAAAAAAAAAAAAAAAAAAAAATTGATTCGTTTCAATCCTCTCAATTTTATATCAGTTCTTTCTTTAATAATCCAAGAATAAGATTATGCTAATAACAAATATGATAAAAAAAAAAAAAAAAGTTTTGGTGCCAAAAAGAAGAGATGATGTTTTTGTTGGTGGATGAAAAAATAGGTAGAATAATAAAGGAATTCATAGAAAAACTAATCCAATAAAATTTTATCATATTTATTTTATTTTATTAAAAAATATATTTTTAAAATAATTATATATTTTTGAAATTTACACATTTTCAATTTGCCGTTATGAATGGAAATGGATGGAGGAGGGAATTGAAACTATAAGGAAAGTTGAGGGGCCGATTGATACTAACAAACTTTTGAAGTGAAATTAAGAGACCCCATAAACAATAGCTTAACCCAAGATTTTTTGCTTTACCTTTTACATCTCGTGGGATGGAATGATTATAACTTATAATTGGTGTATGGAGACTTGCAGAAGGAAGAGACAATTTTTGGGCGTTACTAGAATTGGTAATTGCTAAAACCCTTTCTCTGGAATTAATGCCTGATAAAGAAGCACATGCAGTCTAGGACAGATATACAAACTGTGAGGTAGAATTTAGGATAACAGATAGCTGCTGAATCCAAATTGTTTTGGGTTATATTAGGCTCACCGTAACCCACCATTTCCAGTGATACAAATAGAATCGAAATGCTAAAATCTTTATCAATTAGTACTTTTTTCTCAAAAACATGTATACATAAATACAACCTCAAGTGTAAAATTTTAAACATAGACAAGAAACAACAATAACAATTCTTTTAAAAACAAAAACCATCATTAGAAGGAATTCATTTCCAATAAATAACTCTTTTTCTTAAGAAGTACCTGTACAGCTTCTCCATAAATCCCACCACCAAACGCACCTAATGCCAACCCAGCATCCTCCACATCCCCACCGCCGTCTGCACCGCCGTTACAAGGCCTGACCACCACCAATGTCACACCTTCCACCCAAACTCCATCCTTCAACTGTACTCTTTGCTCGTGCCTCATCCTCATTCTCACACTTGGCACAATCGTCCTCCTCCCCTCCTCCTCCAACGCACCTCCACGGGCCGCCACCCCACGCGCCGCCTCCCGACACTCCTTCAACCCTTCCTTCTCCATCGCCACCGTCCCCTCCCCTTCCCTGTCCACCAAGACCAACTTCTCCATCTCCCTATGCTCCTTAACGACGTCGTGTAAAAGATAATGCCTCGCCGATGCCGCAATCAACGCACTTATTGTCCACACAACCCTTGTCTTTAACCCTCCCGTAAAATCAATTTCCACGTCAGCATTATTTCCCTCGGGATTTGCTACGCCACTAAACCCGAGTATAACGCAGCTTTTTAACGACTTGCCGAATTCAGCTCTCCATTTGATAAAGGCTCCTTTCTCTAATTTCAAGTCGCCAGTTGGCAGTTCGATTTGGAGCTCACGGATCCGTTCGAACTGGGAGAGGATTCGGGCGGGGGAGTTCTGGATTTGGTTTCGGGTTGTGGGTTTGGGTTCGGTTTTGAAGAGATCGTGGATGGATTTGAAAAGAGATTTGAAGAAAGTGAAGACTGAGTCAGAGTCCGACTCGGGTGAGATTACACAGTCGACTTTGAGAGAGAGGGATTCGGCTTGGGGAACGAGTGTATTGAAACGTTTCGAAACGGCACGGCAACGGATTAGTGTCTTGATGTCGGCGATTGAGTTGAAGATGATGAGAATCAAGGAGTCCGGGATTCGATCAAAGCCGTCCATTGCTTCGATCATTTGGTTTAGATTTAGATTGGATTTATTCTGTGTTTTGTTGCTCAGCCTTGCTTTTTTATGGAAAGAAGACACAGAGAGAAGTAACTGTGGGTTTCTTTTTAGATGAGCTATTATAACAGGAGCGTGGCTTCGATTCTTGAGGATGGTTGTACGTTTGACCGTTGACGGGGTGAATTCTGGGACCCACTTCAGTATTTCTTTTACAGAAAATAAATTTTATAATGCCGGCTTTCGAATTTTAAAAGGTCGGTATTGGCCGGTTAATTTGATCTCTTTTCCAGGTATTCTGATATGGGTACAGATATGCGTTGATTACTATGGTAACAGTCTTCTTTATCAACGTTCAGTTGTGAGTTTGCCCGCCACATGGAAGCCACGTGGCACAAATCAGAGGCCCACATCCAACTGTGATGCACAGATATTGGGTCTGTTGAACCTTCTTTTTAATTTTTTCTTTTTATCAACAACTAGATTTTCTTTTCTTTAGCTTTTATTCGTTAGATAGCCTCGCTAGGCTATAATCAAATAATTATTATATACATAAAGTTAATAATTTATATAATGCAGTATGAATAAAAATTTTATTTTTATTTAATATAAATCAAATTTTTATATTGAATAAAATCGTTCGATTTATATATATCTATTAATAAAATATTTAATGTTATTAGTATAAGAATTTGTATTTGAATAATTGAGAGATTTTTTCAAAACATTATCTAACTTATTTTATTTAAAAAACAAATTTTAGAATATGAAAAAATAAATAACAAATTGGTATTATGTATGTAATATATAATTAATTTCTAATAAAACTAATAATATATATCATACTTAACGATTCAAAATATACAAAATAAATATAAAAATATACAAAAAAAAATCAACTTAAATTGTATAAAGTACATTAAAATCAACAGATTAAAATAAAAACTACAACAAAATCGATGTTATAAATTCTGAATAAATATATATAAAAAATCATATATATAATAAAAAATTATAAATTATAATAATACATTTTAAAAAAGAAAACACTCATTTAAAAAGCATAAAAATAATTTATTGTATAAATTATAATAATATATTTTTAAAAAATAAAACACTAAAGTTCTAAAAATTTATTCCAAAATTCATATATTAAAAAAGTAAATTTATTAACAAATAAAATTATATCAAAAAATTAGTTTGAAGAGAATTTTAATAAGAAACAAATAATTGAAGAAATAAATTTTAAACAACAAAAATAATATATATATATATATATATATATATATATATATATATATATATATATATATATTCAAATTAAAATCTTAAAAAATGTCATACATATTCTATTATTTTCAAAATATATGTAAAACTAAAAAAATAATAATTTATTTTTTATATTTTTCATATCTAATTTCATGATGATATGTGTGTGTGTGTGAAGGAAAAAAAAAAAAAGAAGACTACATTGAAAAGTCGCGTTCTCCTGTCTGTTGCACAACGGCTACATTGCCATGTGCCCCTATTAAAAATTTTCCACACTTCTTTACTCTACTATCTTCTACCATTATTATTATGTTTTTATTTTTTTGCTCTTTTTTTACTTCCTGATCCTTACTACACAGCCCTCTTAAGGGTCGGTCGTCTTTAAAGCAAGGCCATGCCCGCTCCTGGTTGGCCTGTTTGTTTTTTTTTTTTAAAAAAAAGAGAGAATCAAACAAAAAATCTGAGAAGATAAAATCTACTGAGATTCTTTTTGTAATTGTTTTAGTTTAGCGTATCGATTATTTAGGTTTGTAATATTCTTAAATTGATAAAGCAAAAAAGATGAGCTGTGCTTTTTTATGGGATGACTTAAATACATAATGAACAAAATTATGGAATCATTACTTAATTTGATCTGCCCAAAAGATATCGTTATTTTGTTTCTGTTGAGACAGTATTGTCAATAATCATTGATCGAGACAAAGACTTTTTCAAGAAATGGTGGTTACTCTCATAAAATGCCGAAGGAGAATTATTTTTGAATCACAGGTTCCTAATTCCCCTCGTTCAATTAGTTGTGGTAGTCTTGGAAGCATGGAAATTAATTATTATGTCAGTTGAAATTGTTTAATCCATAACTAGAGAAACATATCCTGTCAAATTCGTCATGCTCACATGGTCAATAGAATATTAATGCTTCAGATATGTGTGGTCTCATTAGGGGTGTGACATTGCGCTTGTCATTTGATTCATTCATGTATTTAGTTAAACAATAAAGTTGATCAAAAAAATTATTCAACCGTGGTTCAATTACCCAGCCAGATTTTAGAAGGATGGAAATAAAAGAAAATGCATGTGACTGGAATGGGCATGTGTGTTTTGTTGGGTTAATCATTCCTGAATTCAGATGCGTTTTTCAGCTGACCTCCAGGTGTCACGATTTCGTAGAAAGCTAAAACCAGGGCCATTGGAGTGTTGTAACTGGGTCAGGTCCTCCACTGAATGGTTCCGCTTAAATAATTGTTGGAGTTCCCTTCTTTTACTTCATTCGCTAAACCAAATTACTCTCTCTCTTTAAAAATAAATAAATAAATAAATTATTTCCTTTTTTATTTATATCTATCTCCGAATAATTGTTTATTCAAAATTTTAAATAATATGTTTTCTTAAAATACTTTTAATTAATAAAAACAATCAATTCTTTGTGTTCTTCACAAACAAAAAAAATCAATACTTTTTTATACTTTTTCATTCTAATAAAAATTTGAAGTGAATAGTAACAGTTTTTAATCTCTGTTTTTCATGCTTTTGTAGAAATTGCTGTTTTTTACCAAATATTTTATAAATATCATTATACATTTTGTATAATAAGAATGTTTTAATAAATATTTTCGCAAGCATCGCGTTAAAAATATACACAACAAAAATATAAATAATATCATGAAAGAATTATGGTAGTGTACATCAAGATACAAAGTATTATTTTCTACATCAAATACTTGATGTAATAACATTTTTTAGGTATGCCCTACCTACTGACATGATATATATTTTCAATGAAATAGTATTTTCTTATATGCTCCTACTATTTGCATAATAAATAATTTTCTTACTATCACTATAGACAAGATGGCATAAATTATTCTATTATGTCATCATCTATTACGTCACCATCAACATTCACAAATTATTTCCTGTGATCTAACAATTAACGAGATATATTTCTTTAAAATAAGATATGTTAACACCTAATTTTTGCCCATATTATTTTATTTATATTTTTACTTTTATTGTAAAAATAAAAATAATAATAAACAAAATAAAAAATGCCAAGTATCAAAAGAAAAAAAAAAGAAAAGAAAAAAATCATTTGAAACAAGTAGCTCATATTAGCTCCAAAAGGGTAATTAAAAAAATAAAAAGTCTAGAAAAAAATAACCGAGGGTACAATTAAAAAATCCAAAACCTCAATCATTTAATTAAAATAAAGAGGGAACATGATTGGAAGGAATGAAAGAGAAAATTCATGATTAATTGAGATTTAAGGATCCTATCGAAACGAACGATCAAAATAAAATTTAAATCGATGGATCATAGAGAATCATAGACCAAAATTGACTTTTGTGCAAAAAAAAAAAAAAAAAAACCCTAAAACCCACCTCTAAATATCCCCTCCGTTGCAATTTTTTTTAATACCAAATACTATTCATCATCTTCAAAAACAAAAACCATCCAACTGAAATCTCTACTGCAATCGAACCACTTCGTCTTCTCCCTTACTGCCCAGGAACCAATGCCGTCCTCTCCCTCAGTCGAAACAGCCTTAAACTAGCAGCATTCCCATATTTTGGTGTCTTATGTTTCTAAAATATTTATTTTCATCTCCAACTTTATTTATATTGCATTTAAGTCTTTAGATTTTTTTTCCAGTAATTTATTTTTATTTTTTAATTATAGATTTTGTGATGAATTTATTAAAAAATATTCATTACTATTTTTGGTTTTTCATACAGGTTGGCGATGAAAAAATATGATTTTTTTTATTTGTCATTTCTAATTTTTGCTTTTAGATTTTAAGATGATTTATTCGATTTTTCATTTTTGTGAAAACATCCCATTAGTTTCTTAATTTATTTTTTTTACTTAATTTTATTTGTTAAGCAAATATGATTTTGTTTCTTTGTATGGATTTTTAAATAAAATTTTAGAATGTAATTATTATTTTTAAATATATTAATATAATTTAAATGAAGAATTGTTATGATTTTTAAATCAGAGCAACATGTGTATGTGTAGAGCATTATAGAAAAAATATTAAAGTTTTTTTAAGGATTTTGGATTCAATTTTGTATTTAGATTTTTGTATGTTTTTATTTAAGAATCAACGTGCACAAAAAAGAATAAATTATGTTTTTTTTTCTCATTTGAAAATTTATGAAAAACATGAAAAAGAATCCATTAAATATAAGATTTTAATTAAAATATTATTAAATTAATTAATATTTTATTTTGTATTTTATTTGATATGTTTTAATAAATCTGTAACGTGAAATATCAAATTAAAATAATTTGATTTTATCCGCAATATAGTACGGTTAACAAATTAGTTTTCTATGAACATGAATATCTCAGTGAAAATGAGAGCATGTAATCCGAGAATGCAGAAATTGTAGTTAAACGTGGTTTCAAAGTCCAAACAATGTCCGCACAAGACATGCCCATACTTTATCAGGAATGTCAAACCCACTGCTAGCTAAAGCATCAGCAATGGTCGATCAAGTTTGCAGGAATGGCGTTGGTTGGGAGGAGATGCATGGTGTTTTGCGGGAAATTTGTTGATTCAAAGAATTTATTATAGTTATTTATTTTGTTACAAATTTTAGTAGTAACATGTCCGAAGTCTTAGATGAGAAAATTGTTGGCGACGGCTGTTGCTTATTATTCAGTTTTCCTATCCTGTAATTGTAACATTAAGAGATAATAAAGGATACGGTGACATTCCTTCCGTATGTTCTGACTGTTGTATTAAGATAGCCACAGCAGCTCCTCAAACTTGAGCGTCTTCCAATGGATCCAGTCCAGTAAAAAAAAAAAATTGTATCACAATATCATGGAGTCGTTATAAAAATAAACTGTTTCCCTAGAAGATATATGGCCCAGATAGCAACCAACATCGGCTAGGCTCCGAATGCAGACAAGTATAAATTCAATCGGGATTACTAGTTTTCGTATCAACATAACAAAAGCCCGAAAGCTAGAGCAGCCCACCCTTGAGTACCTAACAATCTCTAGAAACGTAATTATATTTATTAAACCTAGTCCAGCCCAAGAAACGTCGAGAAGCCTCCCTGAAACGAGACAATTGAATCCGAGAGATCCAACATGCATAACCTGACCATTGTTTACCCAATTATCTCTCTTAATAAAATAAGATTTAAATTCGTTTTGATTCATTTATCTTTATTGTGTAGTCTAAAAAGCTAAGGATCTCCAATGAATAATAACAGTAAAAAAAAAAGTGTGGCAACAACACTTAAAACTACCATATAATTTATAGTAACGACTGAAAAATGTACTCGTATATAATTATAATACGAAGAAAGGGAGTTAATAAAGAAATTGCATCAATCTTCTTTATGATCAGAGGAAAGATTAGAGATTAATGGCAGTAATTTATATTTCTTAAATCATAATCATTGTTATTAACACTTCTTTTCAAGGATTCAAAGTTCAAACTAAACCTATACCACTAATATCAATTTAAAACAAAATCTTCTTTCTTTCCTGCCAACCCACACCCGCACATATAGTGACATTATCATTTCTTAATTATAAAATTATAATTCTTGAATAAGCCAAGTACACACACAGATATATGTATATATATATATATATATATATATCGTTGAGCTAGAGGACTGTATATGAACACGTACTAAAGCAGTGATATATTTAGTGCACACGCCATGTAGCTTACTGCTGTCTTTCTTTTTCACATTGCCAGTTAATTATATATATTCGAAAATAATGGATCGGATTGTTTTGGATTCCTTGGTGTCGGGTGTTATTTTTTGCACCAATAATATGAACGGTACGATAGAAGCAGCAACCCTAATGTACAAACACATTATTCATTTGTTCCCTCTAACAAGGTCATATGGGTCACATGGGAAGTGAATTATACAATGCTGAAAACACACCCTACGATTGCTCAATACCCTGCCTTTTCACTTTGATTATTCTCGTGAAAACTGCGCCAACTTACCTGCAGGCTGCACCTCGGCCTCGAAGAGGGGACCATCTTTTCCTTGGAGGACACGTACGTTGAGTTTGTATTCATCTCTCTTGTTGAGTATCTCCAAAGCAAATTAAAGCCATAGGACCAATCTTACAGAGAACAAATAATATCAAAATCAGAAAGTTTTGAAACCTTAACATGTTGTGTGTTTAATATGAATTGACGAGTGAGGCAAGTTTTATTTTATTTATTTATTTTTTTGATGGGCGTGGGGCTTCAATGGTCGTGAATCATGGGTTTTAATCTGTACTTTTGAATGCAAAAGGAGGCCTAATAATACTAAACTAGGATATTTTATTTCTTAGTCATACGTGGATTGTTGGGAGGAGGAAGGAAATTGAACCTGCTTAATTTTATAGGAGATCGAATAAGTTAATTTGATTGAATGATCTATCTGTCTGAAATCTGTTAAATCTATGTTGGTGATCATCATAGTGTGCTTTGTTATGTTCATTGGTGGTTCAAAGGGAAGTGCATCTTTCGCACCAATAATTAGAGCTTCTAGTTGTTTAGTTTAATTAAGTTTAGCACCCAATGATGGATTGAATCTAGTGGAACCTTTTCTTTACACGTTTGATCGAGACAGAGAGCTATTTTCCTTTGTTTGGAAGCATGTTGGATGTCCCTATATAAAATTTATGCCCTCTTCAAATCAAAAACTTTAAGTGGATTCCAACTCCTCTTCAACCATGGATTCCCCTTCACCTATTAGTGGGTTTCCCTTTCACTACCTAACCCTTGAAAATAACCATTAAACAAGAAATTCGATCTATCAAAAAAATATCCACATTCAGATTTCTTTAATCTAACTGAAGGTGGGCTCTTGCAGATCTAAGTGCCCAATGGTTTAGTTCGATGTTCTGTTTGTGGAGCAATCGCCTTGTTTCTACTGATTCAGGTCTAATATATTCAACCTGCATATATTGCTTTCTTGTCGCTTCTTTTAAAGGGTTACTAGGAGCATATGTTACCCCTCAGCAGCAACAAAAAAAAAAAAAAAAAAAAAAAAAAAAAGGGAAAAAAAAGTAACAACGAAGGCAATAAAATGATCTCTTTGCTTTTAATTAACTGTCTTAATTAAATATCTGCTCAAGATGTATGATTTAAGGTCTATCAATTATAATGTCCCTCGTGGCCTAGCTAGATGCGATGACAACTCTTTCCTTCCCTTCTTTGGCTTATTAAATTCGGCTGTTTTTGTCATTTAGTAGTGCATTTGTTGCCTTGAAACTATGTTGAATTGATATTTTATGCTTGAAATAGCTAGTTCTTCAGGACAGGATTAAGAGTAATGACTTTAGGGTGAAAATATTGACTCCAAACACATCAAACAGTTTTAAATGTTGTCATTGTGCTATAGAAGGCTGGTAATAATTGATGGACATGTGTGGATAAGATCTTTACCTTACGTACTCACTTGATATATCCAAGGAAAATGTTGCTCCAGTTACTGATCTTGAGTGAGGACAGTACTGAAGGATGACAAGTTAGCATACATGAAGAATAGGACTGTTATCAGCATTAATTAAGGTTCGTAGAAATTATCATTACTGAATAATTAATGGGAGATAAGGATATAACCTTTTTTGTGCTGTAGTTAGGTGAAAAAGTTCGAAAGCACTGTCCTAGTTTTAATAATGGATCGATGGAGCAAAACACAACTAGTAGTGGAAAATGAAAAATCGAAGGAAATGGCATATAATCAAACGAAAAATCACCCAGAAAGCTTTCTTTCAGTTTCAATGAGTCCCATTGTAAAATTCATTTGTTTGAAAGAACTTTTTACAGTAGGCATTATCGTCAATGAGACCAGGGGCATGTATAATTTGGAGTTTTTTTTTCATTTTTAAGTAAGAATTATTAGGCAGCTCAAAGATGCATGTACAATTTGCCGTTTATTGCAACATAGGGACTGGTTTATTTGCATGATACTTTCTTGCTAAAAGTGGGTTGCATGTGAATATAAACTGCTATAAAGACTTTTTTAAGCTCTTACCCTCATAATTGATGCAATCTTGCCATATAAATGAGAAAGGTACTCACTTTTTTTGAGAATAAGGTATCCACTTGAACACAAATGATAGAAACAAAATGTTTGCACTGTGTATTTATGTTTGAGAGTAGTGCATGTAGTCATCAACTTGCATATTGTAACGGCCAGTGATGGAAGCAATTGCCTAGGGTTCCTTGGTTTTTATACTAAAAAATATGTAACAAAACCTGGACATTTCAACCTTTGTTCAAGAAAATTATGCCTATTTAATGTCCAAAGAGTGCCATGATTCTGACTCGATTGGTATCTTTACAACTGTTATAGATGCTCTCCATTATTGAGTTTTCAATACAATGTGTGGTGTTGAGACACTAAGTTCAAGAACTAATTAACTTCACATTGCGCGCGTTTGACTGCCCACAATTCCATTTGCCTATTTCTCGGTGTCGAGGAAATAAACAAAACAAAGAGACCACAGATCTCTCCAAGAGAACATGGTAACAGTTCTTTCGTACTATATATGTAACATGAGGGATTGCAAAAATATTAGAGAACGAGGCACATGCCATTCGGGGTGACATCATGTACTGCTAAATAACATGACTTAATTAGGTAGTATGGACTCCAAGAATGCACAATAATTAATTAGTACCAAACTCAAGGTTTCGCGTTGCACGAGTCCTTCGATAACCAATAGCAGCTGAGGAGTAGTTCCATTAAACAAATCGTAAACCCACTGGTTGCCGTGCCCAGTGTTTTTGGAGAGGTCGATCCATTTGGTGACAAAATGTTCTTCCAACCAATATCTGACAATTGTTGTTCTTACAGACACTTCGAATTGAAGAAAATATTGCATACAGCTGTAAATAGTTTTTGTCGGTTTGTCAAGTTAAATTACTGAGGAATGTTGTTTACGGTTCATTATGGTCAAATATGTACTCAAAATTAATTTTCTCCATTCTCTGAATAGTATTATTGCTGCTTTTGAAAAGGCAAAAGAAAGAAATAATACCACTAGCTAGTGACTGTCTTTCATGTTATATATATGTATCGGTTTTCTTAGGACTATATACATGTTGCATTGTCTAAAAAAATAATATCTAGCTGTTAATTAATTAATGCCTTTGAGCTGGGTTTTCCCCTTTGTTATTCTGAGGTAGTTGTGTGCTGTAAACCAAACGCATATTGCAAGCCACACGACCTCTTCTTTTAATCAATCATTTTGTATATCTTGATGTAGCATCATAAGACATCTCCACGGACAACAGTGGGCATGCACGAGAAGAGAGAAAGAGAGAGAGAGTGATATCAAACTTTATGGAATTTGTTGCGTTCCATATATTTTTTTCCCATCCATTTATAATGTCTAAATAAACAAGAAAATTACATATTTCAGTCCACCCTTGACCAACTTTTAGCTAGGGTGGGATCAACTTGATCTACTATATTTTTACACTCTACATGGTCCTTGTAACGATGATCGCTTCCACTCTACCAAACGCCTTAAAAAGTCTTTAACCTGCTAATTAAAGATATGATTTATTAGTCCAACTTATAAAATAGAAAAGTTAACAATAATTAGTACCGCAAATTAAAACATAACGATTAATATGCTTGTTACATTAAAGAACTTGCCTCTGTTGGCTCTTGTAGAGAATAAGAGGCATTTGTTTCCTTGGGAACTTTAGAAACGAGAATCCCGAGCCCTTGTCCCCTGTTTCTCAGAACCTGCATAGTGTGCATATAACCTTTAGTTTAGAAGAATTGAAATTTGAGATAATTTGTGATAATATGTTAGTAACAGAAAAGATGGTAACTAATGAATATGATATGATATATACCTTGAATGCATCCTCATCAGTTCGATCGTCTCCAATATAGACTGGTAAAGCATCAGTAGAATTGGCATATCCTGAGAAATAAACAATCGACTCTTATGAATCTACCATTGCATGAGAGATTAACTAGAGAACGTAATTAAAGGCCACTCACGTCCACTAAAGAATTGACAAAAGTATATATTCACCTAATGATTCTAACAAGAATTCAAGAGCTTTGCCCTTGTCCCATTTAATGGTGGGTCTGATCTCTAGAACCTGTTTCCGTCAATAAAAGATGGTTAGGCAGGTTGATTACGTAGCACAATTAATTTTAAGACAATAATTAAAATAAGAAGGTTCTTGATAAGAAAATGAATACCTTCCTCCCTTGAGTTAATCTAAGCTTTGGATAATCATTGAGAATTGATCTAACTTGCTCTACTAGTTTAGCCCACATCTGTAGAAAAATAAAAAATAAAAAAATCAAGGCAGCTGTTAATAATCTTTCACATTACCCATCGAAGAAAATGAAGGTGAAAAGAAAATAGGAAAATGTACCTTTTCCTCAACACAACGAAAGTGTACGGATACACAAAATTTGTTGTTTTCTACTTTGGCTCCTGGGATAGATTTTGTTCTCTCCAACATAACATTGTACACCTGAAAATAAAAAACTGCACAAAGTTAGATTCTTTTCATGAATCAAATACTTACTTGTTTTTGACAGAAGATAAAAAGAAACAAACCTCATCGATCATGGGTAAAAATTCACTGGCAGGTTGAAAGAATACACCTTGATAGCCCTGAATAATTCATAAAATCAATTAAATATAAAATCACTTGATGAATCAATATGATCAAAACAAATATTAATAGAAAGCGACAAGTAGAGATACATCGGCGCTCACTTTTTTGTATTTGCAACTATTTTTAGACGGTCCTTTGATGTCCATGCCATGGCTACCAGCGTAGTACAGCCCTGTCAATCTTACAAAGCTGTGCACCTGCAAGATTTATACAAGCATGAGAAAACAACATTATTGATTAAAGTACTCCAAAAACCTCCATAAACTCCAACTACAAATTGTGTCAACTTCAAAAAGGGAAAAAGAATAATAATAGTAATTACAACGGAAGGATACCTTATCTCTACACCTTCCCGTCACTATAGCTGTGGGAAAGTGTCTGGCAACGTCCCTCAGAGCTTCTCTCATCTAAAAGTTTGGAGGAAAAAATAAGGCAAACAAGAGTTAGTGTATAGCAAATAAAAAATATCGTAAAATTAAAGGATTATATTCTACATATATATAAAAGCTACACATACTAACCTCACTGGTCATGAATGCTCTGTCAGGATCTTCAACGATGGGAGACAGTGTACCATCATAATCAAGAAACATCACAATCTGCTTTCCCTTTGAGCGATTCACTATTTGCTCGAACATGTTCAAAGCAGAAGGATGATTTACCTGATTGATATTTGATTAAATTCACAAAGAAAAAGAGAGAAACTATCAGTAGAGTCAAAAAGGAAGAAAAATAAAGAACGATTTAACATGATGATAGAAGAGTACTACTAGTACTTGGTCTTGGAAAGCTTACTATCCAAGAATTTTTGTCCTCGGTTTCTGATAAAGGAGTAGTGGATTTGACTCGGCTAGGTGAAGAGTCTCTCATAGAATCAACCCAGGAATTGATTTTGCCTCCAGTTTCTGTCTTCTTTGTGAACCGCTTTCGGGTTATTGTGAAATAGCCACCAGGAGCAGCAGGTAATGGCTTGGGCACAACAGGTGAAAACAGAGACTTGGACAGGGCCATTGCGATGGTGATATCAATACCTTGTTTGGCATCAGGCACAACCACATTCTGGTTTTTCATCTCTGCTTGTATAAACTAAACTCTGCTCACACACACACATATATATGCACATACATTAACATAAAAAGGAGCGAAAATCAATCTAGAAAGCAAAAAGAAGAGGTAAGAAACATAGAAAGGATCTATAAAATGTGAAGTGCACCTGAGAGGTTTGAGAAGATTGTAGAACAGAGGAAGAGGCAGAGAAAATACAAGGACGAAAAAACAAAGACCGGTAATGGAAGTTTTTTTGGTCTTAGGATTCAGTGTAAAGAGATACAGGGAAGAGGAGGTTAATAAAGGCCTCAAAAAGGTGAAAAATATACGCGCACTACACACAGCATTCACATACGCGCAAACAAACGAAGACACAAACACAACTGGAGTTATGTGTTGTCAATTTATAAACTTGGTTTTCACGGCACTAACTGACTAAACAAACAAACAGGATTCAATTCCTTTTATGTTTTCTTAATAACATGATGATTAAAAATAGTAATAACTTAACTTGTTATTATTTTATTTTTTATATCTAATTGAGATCATTGAATTCAAAATAAATAAATAGATTTAAAAATTTGTGTTTTTTTTTTAAATATAAAAATATCCAAACCCAAACAGAACCCACACTCCCACACTAACCCTTTCTTTGCTCTCTGTACTTTTTCGGCCACAAATATACTAAACACTTTGAATGGACTCTTCAGGGACCACTGTGATCCCACCTTAAAGAATATTTCTTGCTCCTATTGAAAACGAAATGCACTACAATATGTTAAATCAAAATTGCCATGTTGTGTTGCTTATGTTCTCAATTTGTAACTAAAATTTTGTTTAGGGTTTTCATAATTCTAATGGGCTCGGTTTTCTTTCTTTCCCTATTTCAGAAAGAATCTTCCTTTTACATAAGAAATTAGAAATAAAGGTTAATTGGAGGAATCTGGTGTATCTTTAGTGAACAGGATAGCTGAGATTATTAGTTAAGGTTCAAAGAGTGGAAAACATGGCTGATCGAGTTTCATCTTGTTAAATTGCACTTTTGTCCTTATTTTTGTGTTCAAAACTCAGTTATACCCTTACCAAAAAAAACTCAGTTATATCATATTATAAAAAGCAAACCCCTCTGTTACTTCAGAGAAAGGGATGTAGGTAAGATTTTGCTTAAACAAGTAATTAATTAAACGCTCCATTTCTCACTTGTTATTGTTAATACCAATAAGCAGGAATCACAAGGATAATTTAAATTGTTTTTGGTTGAATGGGATAAAAATTTTTATCAATCTCTCTTTTTGTTTATTTTTATTAATCCTATTGAAATATATTCACCTATGGGTGTAGAAAATATTCAACATTTGTTAAGTACTGAAAAGTGATTGGTTTATATAGAAGTATGAATCCATACCTTAATAGTATTGTTTATTCATTTATCCAAACTCTTACATGACTCTTTTAGTATTCTTTTGCCTACAATTATTTAAACCATTTTAAAGGATACTAAATAACAATGAAATGAAGATCTTATCACGTTTTATTGGATAAATATAATCATGAAATTGAGTTATTAAAAAAACACTAATTGTATAATGTCACTGTCACTTATTAAAGAACATTAATGATAACTGAAAAAAAAAAGCCAGCCTATTATGCATTTTACAACCCAATCCCTAACATATGGAATTTTTCTAAGACAAGGTCAGCCTATTATGGTCATAACAAACTAGGCTCCACTGATTAGAAACACTTGATAAGAGTTCGGGTATTGCTTTTTTTCAATCAATCATGGCCAACAATTTTCAATCAATCGATATTTGATTGCACATTAAGAATAAAATTTACTGTAACCCAAAAATGTATGGATATGAACCTTAAAAAAAAAAAATCATAAACCCACAAATGTAAGGGCATGAACAGAAGAATTGATAAACTCATAAATGTGCATCATTATCATTCCAAATAAAACCTGCTAAAATCACGTAAAATAAAAGGTTGGCGTGACTTTGAAAAAGCAATGATGATTGTTTCTAATAAAGCATAATTGTATCAGATTTCAATTTGGCGCCAAATTGTCTATATTGGTGAACAACATATTATATTGACGTCACATGCAACTTAACGTTGAGTTTAACAAGGTTAAATGGATGGGGACTATTATGTTATCGTCATGATAGGTTGAATTTGGGTTAGAAAACTTCTATACATCGGAGACTAAGTTATGAAATAAATCATAGGTTGAGGTTTTTACAGTTATCCCAAAAATTAAGTATTTCAAGCATCGTATTTTTAATTATCTAGGAAGCGGCACTTACACTCTTGATTCCGATTTTGTAAATTGGAAGTGAGACTTTTTGTTACTAAAATAAAATCACATCATGCGTCAAAACTAGAATATCAAAAAAAAAGTTTTATCGGTTAATTAACGCAATCGTATTGCGATGATTGATAGGAAATGGAAGGGATCATGAAAGAAGAAAAGGATATATTCCGTCAATCCATGGAACAGGTGAATTGAAAAGAAAAGGACCCGTTTGAACAATACCCTGAACCACTCAAACATGGCATTATGAAGGACCACCTTAACATTCACATCATCCCCACATTTGATTCCTTTGATGTTTACTAAAAGACAAAAAGAATTTTTAAGCGTCAATCTTTGATTTTTTTTTTTTTTTAAGTGTCCAACCTATTGATTTTTAATGATTTACTGTTCAAGTTTTGATTTTTTAATTTGTTTAATGTCGACTTTAATTAAAATTTAATTTTAATCACATGTCTAGTGAGAACTATCATATGGCAATTAGCTCCGGACACGTCAATAACTCATGTTCTAAGGTAGCTTTGGACATTCAAATAAAAAAAAAAATTTAAAAGTTAGACATTGAAATAGGTAAAAATAAAGATGGGCACCAAAAAGATAGTTTTTTCAAGAAATTTATTGTCTCAATATTACAAAATCAGTCCAACCATTTCTAATAAATATTTTTATATCATGCTCATGACGTTTTTTTACTTATAAAAAGCAATTTTTTAATGCTTTGTATCAATTAATTTTTTTAAAATTCTAAACCCCTTTAGCGAGACAAATGTAGTATTATGTCATTTAGTTCAAATATATATAAAATCCAATTAAGAGTAAATCTAGGAAAATAAAAAGATATATAAAATCCAATTATGATTGCCATTTACGGAACAAATGGTTGGTTAATGTAGAAATTTACAAAAACACAAAAATTGCCTACTTTTTGTTAAGAAACAAATCAAGCAAAAGAATATAGTAGAAATGCAAGCACAATCACATAACACAAAAAATATAATAGCAAGACCACCGTATTGGATCTATATAACGCTTTATATTATATGTCTCCGTCCATATCAATCTCCACAATTCAACACTTTTGTTTAAAGAAAAGATCGACCAACATATAATGGGTGGCATAAGCTTTTTGTGGCCAATAACTTAAACTTTTTACAATAAGCCGAGATGAGAAAAAATCGAGATGAATAAATTTAGTAATCAATTTTTTTATTTATTTAGACATTCAAAGTGGAATACTTTGATAATAGTGACGATAATGATAGACGTAATAAGTAAAGTGTGAATTAATCTAAAAAGTGAATGTATTGTTAAAATTACTTGTGCAATTTTAATGATAGACGTAATAAATAAAGTGTGAATTAATCTAAGAAGTGAATGTATTGTTAAAATTACTTGTGCAATTTGCAAAACAATAAGAAAATATACATGTATGTAATTACTAATGTTCTTAAAAATTAAAATTATATGACTTTTAATATGTAAAAAGAAGTTTTGAGAGACCACATATATATAAAGATTATAAAAGCACAAGATATGCATGAAATCTATTTATAATAAGAAAATGATAGATCAAAGTACAAAAAATGGATAAATATTTGGTATGAGAAAACTACATTTTTTGTGTCTAACCATTGATTTTTTTATTTATTTAGGTGCCCAACCTCTATTTTTTTTTCTATTTCAATGCCTAATTTTTTTTTTATTTTTTTCTATTTCAGTGCCCACAACTACCTTAGGACATTAGATACTGATGTGTTTGGAGTTGATTGTCATGTGACATTTTTTTATTGTCATGTGGCAGTTCTTTCAAGACATATAAAAGGAATTGAGCCTTAGGTGAAGTCGAGCAAAAAAAAATCAAAACTTGGATAGTAAATAGTTAGAAATCAAAACTTGGGTAGTAAACTTGACGCCGAAGCAAAATAAATAAATAAATCAAAAACAAAAGAAAATGAAATATTGAGAATCTATAACTTCAGCTCCAATTTATGTGTTTTTCCCCGACAGTTACACATGCTATTAAAAATAAAACAAACAGGACACATGATTTATATATGGAGTCTAACTATATTGTCTTTGGAAAAATCCTAACGCTAAATTAATGTTTACTTAAAATTACACTATCAACATGTTTGGTTATATGTAGTTCTATCAAATGAGTAAATGTAAGAAAATAATATAATGTAATAGAATGGAATCATCCATTGCTTTTTTTTGTCTGGTTGCAGAACTTTTAGTAATTTCATGTAGGCATTCATGCATAAAATTTCATTTCAGTTCCTATAATTTTAAAAAATATATATTTTAGTTCTTATAGTTTATTTTTATTTACAAATTGGATCCTTTTTAAAAGTATTTTAAGTCCTTGTACTTAATAAAATTTACAATTCAATCTTTATGATGTAAAAGTTTTCACAATCAAGTTTATATAAGATTACTTTTCATCATGTGATGGTTCATTATTTATTTATTTGTTTGTTTCTTTGTGTGATCCTTGTGATATAACAAGTCGTTATAATTGTAATAGTTCATTATATTATAATTTTAGAAATTATATGATTAAAAATGGGAATGTAATGAGTCATTTTATTACATACTACATTACATCCAACCAAACATGTTGTAAATACACGAAAAATTCAAAACTAACTAGATCAAATCAAAATCTAGATGGTTTGCTTATAAAATCAATATATAGTTCAGTTCG